TTTCGACAACACGGATTGCCTGTGGCAATCGTCTCTGATAGAGACCCCCGTTTTACGGGTGCGTTTTGGACTTCCGTCTTTAAAGTGCTGAGCACTCGACTGGACATGTCCACAGCGGATCATCCACAGCCGATGGTCAGACCGAACGCGTGAATCGCGTTATTGGTGATATGCTTCGTAGTGTTTGTGCTAAAACACCAAAGCAATGGAGCACGATGCTCCCACTCATTGAGTTTACATTAAAAATTACGGTGCATGCCTCGACAGGCTTTATCCCATTCTATGTAAATGGTTTAGTCAACCCTCGCGTTCCTTTAACGCTACCCTCTGCCACATCAGAGCTTAGTGGGGGGGAGTTAGCCGAAGGCTTGGCTGGATTCCGCCCTGTTGCGATACGCAAAAAGCGTTTCTGTCAATGCGTTTTGACGTATTACGTCGCGCCAAAGAAGCTATGGCTAAAAGCCAGGATGTTCAAAAGGAACAAGCAGATGCTAAAAGCAGAAAGAATGAACACGCGTTCAAAGTGGGAGATTTGGTTTTTTTGAACGCTAGAAATTTACCTACCCGTGCCGTTTCGGCGGTATATAAAACTAAACTACGTCCACGCTTTATTAAACCTTTCAAGATCATAAGCAAGAAAGGCTTAGCGTATACGCTGAACTTTTTAAAGAAGATGCGAATACACCCTGTGTTCTATGTGGATTGCTAAAGACATATCTCAACCTAGCCTCGGTGAACTTCGAAGGGTTGTCCCCATACTCTCGGCCAAAGGAAGCGGAAGTACGCACCGAAGGTGCATATGGACGTTGGAGGCTTACCAGGAGGTCGATCTGACATCGCAGTCGGCTTGAGAGCGCTCAACCACCGCTAGGCGATCCGGGGTCTCAGAGCGATAACGATCGTAGGATAGACGGTGTCGATAGATACGGTCCTCGAGATGAGACGTCACTTATCCAAGAGCCTCACGCTTCAGGATCGTCAAGTGACGTTCGATCTCAGAGAGATCATAAGTCACTGGGTCACCGACCCCCGCCGACTCTGATTGACGAGCTGGTCCAGAAACAATTCGATGTTGAGCGCCTCTTGGGTCGACGTCGTCACCAGGATCATACCAATATCTGGTGAAGTGGAGGAGTTACCCCTAGTCGCATGACTCTTCGGAGTATGAGGTACCCTCCGTCAGGATTGCCCTGACACCGTTGACACTTTTGACCAGGACGGTCAAAAGCGGCGACATCAGTCGTCGAACGCTTCCTAGCACTAGGTGTTTTAGATGTAAGGTCAGTAGGCTGGCTTCGCCTTTGACCTTCGGAGGAAGCAGCCGCCGGTACATCACTTGTGTGAGAGGTACGGGCAGCAGCTTAAGAAGCAGAATCCCCACAAGTCTTGGACTTATACGTGGAAAATAATTTGCGCTTAGCTTTGAGCTTTGCGAAATTAAAACGCAGACGACATTCTAGTCAAACGTCTCTTTCATTAGCGCTTAAACGCAAGTCGGAAAGACTTGTAACCTTTTACGCTCGTTCAACCCAACGGGTGAACTGGTGATAATTATGCGCAGATGTTTCACCTGGTGCAAGCACCACTGGTATGTCATTCAGTGGGAGAACGGGCACCCCACGCGACTGTCGTGACAGTCGTTCTTGATACCATTTTAATCGTAAACTCCTGTAGAGCAAGGAGCCGTTTACGAAGAGCGGTACGATCTGAAATCTCGCAAGTAGTACGGGACCCAATGACATAGGTATGCATAGATTTCGATGCAGCTCGTCGAGCTTCCTCATTGGGGTTCCGAGGCACGAGCTCATAATCACGACGTGAAAATGCTTGTTTAATTCGTGCTAATACGGCCGCCTGGGCCTCGTCATCAAGTTGACGACGCTATGCAGCGTCAAGAGGGCTTGTTACCTGGTAGTCGGCATCCTCTCGCGAGGGAAGCGGTGGTGCTTGGCGCAACGTCGTTGTTCCCCTTGAAATGAAGACATAGAATGGAATCGGCGTCCTTCGCTCGGTAAGAGGGGTATTATGACCCAACGGAGACTCGACGCCGCTACCCCTGGAGGCAACGTCACTGTCATCGTCCCCGAAAATTTTTCGACGCATTGCAGCATCCATGATGGAGCAACGTAATATAGACCAGTGATTTGTGAGCAAGTGTTGTGAGCACTGTAATGCTTAAAAGCAAGTGCTGTGCATTTAATGCAGTATAAAGCAAGTGTTTGTAAACACTAATGGGTATTAATACTAAGTGCTACGCACTTAACGCTTATAAGCAATTGTCGTAACACTATAATGATTAGCGTGAGTGCAATGCACTGCATGCTCAAGGAGCAAGTGTCGTAACACTAGGATGCTAAGAAAGCGTGAGTGCAAAGCACAGGTGCTCAAGTAGAAAAATATCGGAACACAGAGGCTTTTTTTTGCAAGTACGAGACACTTATTACGAGCCAAGCCAAATGAGAACATTATAAAATCGATGAATCCCATTGAGTCTTTACAACAAGAATTAATGAGAAGTAGGTAGGTCGGGTCCCACGCATTGATGAGGAGGGTGTAACGGGGTTTCACGAAGGTGGTAATTGTAAATTCACACCTGCCTCACCAATGTGTGGCTGTACCTTGTGTAACGGGCGAGAGCCCCTGTATCTTGTTTGACGGGGCAAGAGCTCCGTTACGTAGCTGACACTAAAGGTCTTACGAGGAAGCATAAGAAGCACCCAATTTACTTGCGTGCTTAGGACCAAATTAAACTCTGTTTATTATTATTAAAGTTAGATACAAAGTCCTAAACCTTCTGTGAACCTTCCAAATACGTGATAATTAATAACTGGGTGAAATGGGAATCAAATAATGGCACTAAAAGATACGCTATTCGTATCTTCTCTTTTTCCTAAATCATGTAATATTGTCAATATAGTCTACCTTATTATGCATAATAATGGGACCCTTAATATTGCCAGATCGTACTTGATATGGCGTGTAACGATACGACCCCGTTACACCTTGGGTACAGTAGTAGGTGATGTGACCGTACCTAAGGTACGAAGGGTAGAGAGCCACGTGGTCACTATACTTAACTAAGTATAGTGTAAATAGTGACTATACATGTTTACGTATTAATAGGCTATAGAGCCGGTAAATAGTGAATAGCACTAAGTATAGAGTAGGTGCTTCTATATTTAGTGCTAGAAGATAAACATAAGTATAAATCAGTTTCAAACCTGCTCTATGAGCATCACTGTTTGATATTACTTTTTCTTTCTAAGGAATCTGTATCTTTGATACTAGTCTCTATGAGACCCAGTTGTAACAACCGATAGGCACAATCTTACGAGCTAGCCTAGGAAGCGTTAAGCACTCTAAGACGTGTAAGCTCTAAGAGCTTGTCTTCCTCTGTACATAGTGCATAAGTAGCTTTGCTACAGTAGCCTGGCTGCCAGTTGCGCTTCGTTGCGAATCTTTTCTGATGTCAAGGGATATGACCTTAAAAGATTATATTCCCTCACGGTGAGCTAAACTCCGCCTGTATGCTGATATAAACCATAATAGCAGCCAACGAGCTGGCTTATGAGGGATGAAGGTTGCAGTAAATGTTGAGCAATTTAATCGTATACATATTAGTAGCTCTCTATAATAAAAGTAAGGTTCGGATAAATTAAGCTAAGAGACGTTAAGTTTAATCAACAGCTCCCCCTTTTAACCTGTCCGCGTTGGATCATTAGCTTACCTGCACACATTGTACATAAGAGCACTTGCTTACATATACTGCTGTATGTATATGTAGGAGAGTAAACGAGTAGCACTTCGTAGTCTTATCAATTACCCTGGACAAATTTTCGATGTACTCAAGGGTCTTGCGGATGAACCCAGCAAGATCTACCTGCACTAATGAAACAGTCACTAGATCAAGTGACCTCCGCAGCGTCACATGAGGACTTGAGCGTTGGAAAGGCTCATGTCGGCATCCTATCGTCTATCAAGAAGAAAGGAGACCGGATGTCCAGAACTAATGGACTTTTCTATATTTTGCTTTATGGCTTAATCTAAAAGATACTAGCAAATTCAAATTTGCAAAATTGCTAAAAGATGGGTCACTACGCGTATAATTACGCCCATATGGTCTTGCTACACTTTGCGCCTAGTCGACAGTGAGGCTTGAATAATGTTTTCCGCCTGGCGCAAGTCGCTAGAGGATCGTACTCAAGTTTGTTGAGTGCGAAACCCCTCCAACAAGAATAACGGGACGCCTTGCAGCTGGCAAATCCGTAACAAAGAGACATGTATACTAGAAATCCACTCCATGGTTATTGACAACAATTATTATCTTTATATATTGTACTTGATCTAGATGATAAATTTGATGTCATCCTGTTATTAACGTGGCTTAGAATGTGTGTATGAGCCACGGGTCAGCGGCAGCATCGAACCGCCAAGATTTCTGACACTTGTTGACCAGACAGCCATATGATGAACGTCTTGGAGCGTTTTCAAGCGTATAGCTTCGCTAAGAGATAGTATAATAGCCTAACTTTTACGTTATTTGTTAGTAAGACTGCAGATAACCACACTGAGAAGCAAGCTTCTGGCGGCTGTGAAGATGCAAGGCAGCACCAAAGGCCTGCCACTCGATTTTGTTGAGTGAACCGGAGCTGATATTTGCCTAGAAGCGACATTCGACGTAAAAGTTGGTTGTGTTGAAGCGTATGCAAAACAATCCAAAATCGGCTGGAATCGATCATTGTAGTGTCTTTCTGTGGTTGTGCAATCACTTCAAGAAAAGTTAAGGGAGTAAGTCCTGATGCTCCCGCGGATACAACTACACATGGTATAATCCCCGAGCGAAATAAGCACAAAGGAAATAACCGAGACGATGAGCGTGTTGGTTGATAATGGACTAATTTTAGGCGCTTATACCCTTGACATGATTGCGCCTCTGAGCTACTTTCGGATATTACTCAATTGCTACCTCTGGGACCCCAGATCGCTACGACATCCAATGTCTAGGAAGATCTCATCCTAAAACAACCAGGTTGCGAGCTGATTCGTGACCACAAACTCTGCTGAGAACTCTTTAGCGTGCTGGATATCTTTGCAGCCCAATGAAGCCGCGTACAGGTTGTGCGGAAAGAGCTATTCACCAAAAAGTAGTATGCATGCGCGTTTGACGTGTCAGCTAAATCGGTTATACGTTGCCTACGCAAAAAAAAGACTCACAACAAACCCACATACCTGGGCAACGGTTTACTGACACGTTAGTCACTGCATATTAAATTTTTTTACTGTCGACAGTAACAATAAATCTTCTATATTATCTGGATGAGAGTTTGCCCTTCCCCTTTCTCACCGCTCTGTTTTTCTGCCAATCCACCGCTTTGCGATGGAGTCAAGCACGAATCGGATCACTTTATCGAGCTGGTAGAAGCTTACCTGCTGACTCACTGGTATTGTCTGCAGCGTGATACGAGTGCTCTGCAGAGTAATCTGTTTTAGTTTCAGAGAAAGCATCATGTAATTGCAGGTGATATCCTGAACGATGATGTCAGCGCGATGTCCTTCGCTTTGACATAAACGCCGGCGCATGTTGTATGAAAACCAAACACTCTCTATAGCGAGTCTCTCTCCCGTCTACAGTAAAGGACGTCTCTCAAAAGGCAGGAATTTGGGGGTAGCGCATGCCATTGTGGCGGAGCTGTGGTCACAAAAAAACTCTCTGTGATACCGACCTTTTATTGGCGCCCGAACTGTTGAATGACGGAGGGGGTACTCCGATACCACATGTTAGTCCTTTCTTACCTTGTTTATCCGTCGACTAGGCGGGTTATACTTGCTACGGTCTTGATTATAATGGGTCTGGTTCGAAGGGGGTGGATCGCGTGGAAATTCTTCAAGCGATAAGCACTAGGGCTAAAGCTGCCTTGATACACCCTAGATCTTCCCTTTCCATTCTTGTTTGTCCTCATGAGCTGTATAGTAGATCTTCTGACCACTTGAGCCGTCTCGTAGAGGTCCCTTGCTTGAACGCTGCGTCCGATCGCAATTGATTTGATTTGAGTATTCATGAGCCCCCCGGCCGGGGTGATCTGCTTTACGCACCTGAACTCTATTTATTTAACATGTAATAAAAAATTCTACCTCGAAAGAGAAAAGAACAAATGTTACAGATCCCCTGGAAGCACTATGTATTGCACCCACGTCGGGCAGCATCCTCTTCATTTTTATTTATCTGACTGATGGATTTTACCAGATCCTTATGAGACTGAGCGACATACTCTTTACAGCGGTGAGTACGCCAAGTGGTATGCTGTAATAAAAATTAGTGATTCCACTTGGGCTAAAAAATTATCCGGTCACCTTTAATTTGTACGTATTGCGACCAGTCCATAACATTGCGCCAAGATACCTTCGACGACAAATTTGGTCATAGTCGCGCAAAGGGCGGCGTTAGTGCTGTGACAATACATCGTCGACATTTGAACAGGTATTTCAAGTTATGCAAGAGAACAAATGATACGCAAACTTGGAGAAGTGTGTCTTTTGTGCTCCGAATATTCCAATATCCGCTGCTATGTGAGCAAATCGGAGGTTTATGACGATCTAAACAAGATATCGTCTATCTGCTCGTGGCTCACTCCAAAGAATCCCACCGAGTTGCGTCAATCGCTCGAACCGGCGAATTACTTGCATAACTACACGAAAGATTGCACTGGATCATACAATTGCTATCATCGCTATTGAATCAAGATGCCACTTAGACGTGGCGACTGAGCATCAAATTGCCTTCGATACGTAAAGAAGAGCTTGGATTAGGCGCCAGTACTGATTGTTCCCGATGATTTGTAGCCGTTTCACGTAGTATGTGACGCCAGTGACTTCGCCATCTGTTGTGTCCTCATGAAGCTCGAACATTTAGGCCGCGAGAGATTCGGAAGCTGCCAGTCGCGATAATTGAAGCCTTTAGAAGAAGATATCCTGTCCACGACAAGGAGCTAATTGCAATGCGTTACGCGCTGATCAAGCTCAGAGTTCATGTATTGGGCAAGCAGAATTTCGCTTTGGACACTGATCATGCGTCACTGCAAACAGCAATAAGAGTCTCGACGTATGGCTGGGTGGCTATCGTTCTTCTCCGAGTTTGACTTCGTCGTTCACGACAAGCCAGTCAAGTACAATGTTCTTGCCGACTCTATGTATCGACGTCCGGATCGATCCCCCGATGGCACTTAGTCGACAGCAGGCGGATAATGATGATGAAGGTGGCAAAAGTTGTACGATATGTATCGCCCTTAACATGACCAGGGATGAAGAGATTGCAAAGGCATATGAAGATGATCCAGATTATACAAAATTGTTGCGTATTTACGCGCTTTCTGTGACGATGCACTGAAATCCCTACCATGATCAAAACGCGCCAAAATTCACCGATATAGACGTAACGAGATCCGCCAACTTATAGCATCGATCTATTGGACACTTCTCCGACGGTGATCGCGAATGACACTGATCTGCGCGCGCAAGTTATTCACAATTTTTTCGGTTCCCCTGCCGGGTCATCTCGGCCACGAATTGGCTTTTGCGGCTTTGTCTAGCGACTTCTACTGGCCTCATCTGTACAAATAAGTACGCGGTTGAGTCGTCACTTGTGAAGTCTTTCAGAGTTTTAAACCTTTTTTGTCGTCGCAGGCCCCCTCCCCTACGGCCTTTTCGTATTGCCACGGAAGCGTGGCTATTTATTTTGATGGACTTCATACTCGGACTTGCGCCCGATTGCCAGGGCCGAACGGGTCATGTCGTCTAGCATCCAAAGTTTATCTTGCCGAAGGCCGATATCTGTCTTCTTTGCCGTCATGATGTGGAGCTTGAGAGTAAAGGGCGGCTGGTCATATGTGAGATTGTGCTTGTTGACTTGGACAAACGGTGAAACTTAAGCGCTACAGTTTCGATCATCAGGTTGAAACTTTATGCTAACATTTAAGATATTACATTAATATGTAATCTCTGCTCTACGAACAGTCAACACACGCAACATGTTAATGCCCATGCTATACTGCGTAATGTACATTGTCTATCCCTACGGTGCATTAGCTATCCGTATATACAAACTACTTTACTAACACTCAACAGGCATCCAAACTCCCCGCAACCATTTCATTAGTGGGCGGTGATAATGGAGTTCCGTTATCACGGACTTTGAACTTTAAGCTTCGTTATCCCACGCTATAACGGCGAGGTCGCAAATTTTCTGTTGCAGTGTGTCATTTGTCCAAGTATCGTCCACCAAGTGTACTTAGATGATAAACATAATGGCGCATGATCGGTCAGATTGTCGTAATATTCCAAGTTCGCGGCATCACGAAGTCTTTGAAACCTTGACAAAAGTCCTGCTAATGACAGTCATGATAACCGTGTGGATACCGAATCGGACAAATGTTCAGCCGTTCACTTATAGTAGCGCAATTAGCTAAGCTACTACCGTTTGAACAGAAGACTACGGCCTTGATTGGAATAGATACGCAAGAGTTGAAGCAACGGCGCAACCCAGTACATGATGGGCAAGCTTTTTGGCTCCATAGATGCTTGAATAATTGACGCGGTGCGCGGACACTTCATCAAGTCAAACTCACTTTAAATTGAGGAATCTGAACAGATAAATACATAAAGGCGCAACATACATGTAGCTGATTTGCAAGCTAATCATCGCGTTCCGTTCGGGGTTCATTGACACTTTTTTGTCTATTGTCTAATCATTTTATTACAAGTGATTAGAGAGCATCAACCGTGCTAAGATAATTAAGACAACCAGGCATCAGGAAGGACAAAAGAAACAAATGTTTGCTCTATAACTTTGTTGAAACCACTTCACAAGCGTTTATTGTCGTTGAAATGTCGGTATTCAGTCTAAACTTTCTTGCAGTGATTGCTATACCACTTCTTGCAATCGCGGTATTTCCATCGTCGTCTGCGCTCCGATTGCCCTTTTTGCCATAAAGACAGTCCTCCTTCGCGGTTTTGACACAAACACTGAGACACGCCCATTTATCCTTCATTGCAAACCTTACAGCAACAAACTGAACATTTTCATATGGAATGACTTTGAATCTCTTGGGAGCTCGAGTCGATCGGCATCATTTTCATTCCTCACGTCGCTCTTTATGTGCATAACTGTGTATTGCTTGAGATTTGCTTGATTTGTGCGTAGGTGAAAATCCCCTACCAAGACCCTCCTTGCACACACTTCCGTCTGCTCGATAGCAAAAAGTGACAATCGCAGACCAGCATTATTGATTCTGTCGTCTGGAACAGCAACACTAGCGACTTTTGAGGCTATTTTGCACCGTGATGACTTGTACCCGCTTGTGTTTTTTCGCCGCCTTCGCAACATGGTTTGGCCATTTGGCACAGGCAACTGGTTTGCCATCGCTAAAATTCCGATTCACACTCAAACGGAACTGCATGAATGTACAAGGCTTGTCTGAATTTTCTGTCGTCGCAAAACCGGTCGAACCAACAAGTAGTGACAGCGTACTCTACGACGTTTTTTCATCATTTGTCGAAAACGGCACAGTACACAATTACTTCCTAGTGAATGGAATTGGTTTTTCTTCAAGTTCTCCATCTTATAGTGCTCAAATTCCGACCATCAAGTGTCTGGATTCCGAGCACGACCAACTTCCACCAATCAACTCGTTTGTCAGTGCGATAAACAAAGCAATTGCAGTCCCTTCAAGTGCAATTGAGTGTCCAAATGGGAACCTATTTCACGTTGCGGTCAATAACATTGATTTTGCATTATGCAAATTGGATTCGTTGGGGTTTGCAATGCAAAGCAGCGATATGGACGTGAAGGTTGAGTATCTCAACACCTACAAGGACTCTACAATCCCTATTCCAGATTCAACTTTGAACTGCGGCACAATGGCAGTTCCTAGCTCCATTACACCAATTGGAAGATCGTTGCTGACCGGAGGATCGATTCCCCAAAGCAATGTGAGGAGCTTGAAAGCTGCGTTCAAACTCCCGTTCCAGAAATCTCGATCTTCTTGTTTGTGCAAATCTGCACGTCGTCCGTGCATTTTCGTTCATGGTTTGGGTATAAAGGAAGAAATGCCGACGAACCAGGATAACTTCACGCACTACTGGGGTGACCACTTGTTCAAACACGCGCCGTGCTGTTCATCACTCAAATTTACGCATTTGAATACAGTAGAAAATATGTGGACCAGCCCAAAGCTGCAACAAAAAGTGTGTGATCGTGTTCTGGCAGTGAGTGATAGCAGCACGAATATTGCAATCGTTGACACTATCGTTGTTACGCACTCAATGGGTAATCTCATGTTTGCTGGTGCACTTGCCAATGGAATCTGCAAGCTAGGCCCTAGCTCAACGTGGGTGGGCTTGGCGGCACCTATGATGGGAAGTATGTGCTCAGATTTTACCCAGAAGTCCTGTGCTGGTAATACCAATGCCTTCTGGGAAAAAATCGGAGACATCACGGGTCGATGTCCTCCAACCACTGCGTTGAAATCGCTGGCATACCAGGGTGAAAAGTATAGCAATAAGAGCTTGGATGCAATGTACGTAGCTGCACAGGAAACGTATACGAAAAACGTGTACGCAGCAATGTGTGGCAAATCAAACTCCGGGATTGTATCCAAATACCAAGTAAAATTTTGGGCTTTGGGAAGGCTTGTTCCTCACAAATCACCCGATAATGATGGCATGGTAGAGTTTCAGAGCTGCGCTGCAGGGATTCCTCGATCGAACTTTGGTAACTCCTGGAAAGATCGTTTTTACGTGACACATTTGAATCATTTTGATATGGAGTTTCTGTCTGGTGATTCAGTGTTCAACGAGAAAAAGATGCCTGTGAAATGGTTTGAATGCTTGCTGTAGTCAGCAATTTCAGTACTTCTACAACAGAACAGCAGACTAACTGAAATAAATAATCAGGTGTCATTTGCAAAGAATACTTCATCTTACTCGCACTGGTATTGATCTCCACACATCCTACTCATTTTATCTCTCGACATCTTCTAGCGCAGCATGATGCAATGAAAAAGAAACTCGGTTTGAGATGGAACACTCAAGTGAAGACTGTTGAAAGGCAAAGCCCCTTGCACTTCTTGTAAGCAACAAAATGCTAGCAACTGTCAGCAAAATTTGATGGCCGTAACGTGACTAGCAAGTAATGATTCGCTACTGATTTCAATAGTTGCACTGTCAAGGTGTTGATACACTTGGTTGGTGGCTCATCGTCGTGAGGTAAAAAAATTGGATCCGATGGACAGTACAATGTCAGCAAAGGACCAGTCTTTAGTACATCCGCATAACTCTTCCTTCCCCGTCGTAACCTGTGATCTAATTGTCGAAATGTTGCAAATTAACTTGAAAGCACATAATGGTGTTCAAGAGTTCCGATTCCATTTTGCTGAGACGATGATCAGTTTGACGCGCATCTCTCCCAATGGTTCCCAAACGGTACAGTTGTGTTCACCTTAAGCAGTCCATTGCCGCCAGCATTGGTGCTACCCAACGAAAAATCACATCTTGCGATACGTTTGATAATCCAGTGCATTGTACCCATCAGATGTCGACACGCTTTGGGGAGACTAGGTTCACACATTCAATGGCCTGAGAAAATATACGAAACAGCATCTTAATCGAGTACGGCAAAGTGAGTTGTCAGACAGAGTATCGGATTCAACACATATCGGACTGGGTGTTTACTGATAGTGGGTGCCTGTAGCGCCTGTTGCTGATGAGATACTCGTCGTGGCGGTTGGTTGGGGTAGCTCATCTTGGCTGGTCGTGAGGATATCTGAGTGCACTCACGCAACCGTGAGTAGGGTTGATATAATGGCCGCGGCGCAGTTACATTAGGAGGTAGTTTTAAATACATATTAATTACATAAGTAGGTATGAGAACACATGATGAAGCGAGAAGTATCGTACCCGCTTTGTTAAGCAGCACCTGTTCCGTATTGACTGATAGTCATTCGGACACGTGTCAGCAAACACAAAATCCATACTGATGGACTGCCACAACCCCGAGGGTACAGGCAACTCGCCAAAGGCGCAGCCATACTAGGCGTGGGTTTCACCGTTTGACACGTCTCACACGTGCGTACATACGTACCAACCCATTTGTACAGCTTGGGCCACCAATAATGGGTGCCCAACCAGCCGTGGGTCTTTTCACGACCTAAATGACCACCAGGTGGTGTATCATGAGCCTCTTAAAGTATCGGATACTTGAGGTCCTCATCATGAGGCACCATAACACGAGGCTGGTCATCCGACCCTGTACTATAGCACAACGGACCATCGGTCAGTGCATAACAACGTAACCTTGCACGATTACGTGTTGACAGGTTCACCTTAGAGCGTTCAAACACTACGCAACCTAGCGCCTGCATAATGGTAACACATGCCTCATCGCGTGCATACGCCACACGGGTACGATCCGTTACTGACGAACTCGCAACAGTGAGATGAGCAAGCTCATAGTCAGGTCTACGCGATAACGCGTCAGCCAAAACATTCTGTTTTTCCGGCTTATACTTCACCTCGAAGTTATACTTCGCAAAAAAGGAGAGCCAACGAGCCATTCTCTGCGATACATGAGGCGACTGTGTCGCTGTGCGTAATGACGCATGATCGGTATAGATCACAAACGGCTTTGAGCCCAACAGGTGTACCCTGAACTTAACAAGGGCAAACTTCATCGCAAGTATTTCCTTGTCATGAACTGGACATTTCTTCTCTGCTTTCAGCTGGCGAGACTCAAACGCGATGACGCGTTCTCGACCATCAGCGTCAACTTGCAAATGTGCACTGCCAATGGCAAAGTCTGAAGCGTCACATACAACGCTAAACGGGCGATCAGGATCAGGCAGAGCCAGAATTGGCGCCTGAAGGAGACTCTCCTTAATGACTTCAAAAGCCAGGTGTTCCAACACCATTCCACATCCTTTTTAAGGAGATTCGATAATGGCCTAGCCACTTCCGAACAGTTGTGGCTATACTTGTGCAAGTAATTTGTCAAACCAACCACTTGTGGAGGTCCTTCTGGCTCCTCGGAACCGGCCAATCCACTATGGCTTTGACCTTGACAGGGTCTGCCCGGATTCCTCGCTTCCCATTGAAGCATCCCGAAAAGGGAATCTCTTCCGCGCCGAAGATGCATTATTAATATGGCATATATTCAATGCATCCTCATGCAACCGAGCATAGCTCTCAGGTTTTTTTTGATATGTTTCTCGCATCAGTCTTGCCATTTTCGGCTCAACTATGGACGAATATGTCGTCAAAGTATGTCTGTGCATACGCCCTATGGGGCCGAAACTACTGCGTCACTAAACGAGTGAACGTTGCAGGTGCGTTAGACAGCCCTTGGGGCATCACTAATTACTCCCAGAGCATACCGCTTGGAGTGCTGACCGCTGTCAGCGGAATATCACTAGCTCGCATGAGCAGTTAGCAATATACGTCGACTAAGTCGAGGGCACTGTACATTGTTCATCCCGCCATGTTGTTCCGAAGAGCATCCTTGCGAATAATCGGTGTTTGAGCCGGGATGGTGGCTGCATTCAGCTTATTGTAAGCATGCACTATTTTCGACTTCCCATTAGGCTTCTTCACACAAAACGTGGGCGTAGATTGAGGAGACTTACTCTCACGCACCATTCCTGCCGCGTGCTTTGCACGAAAGAACTCGTCAATGACGTCACATTGTTCTCTTGGCAGCGGCCACCGTCGCGTCACGCATTATACGGTTCCTGGAACCAAGTTAATCTTATGACGTACACCTATATCCGGAGGTAACCTCGCAGGAGGTTTTTTTAATACCACATCACCATATTCCTTTAGCAAAGGATCCTTTAGGACCTGTAACCACTGCGCGCATAGAGTGACTTCTTGATATCCTCAAAAACTTCTTTATCCAAGAGCGATGAGAAGTTGAACGAGTCCTCAGGTCGGATAGCGACCACTTCGGCGATGTCGTCTGCCTATAAGGCACTGCAAAACACTGCAAAGGCCAGATTTATAAAAGCACTTACTGAAGTACTACCGAAAAATTCACCGGCTATTCGACATCCCAAGTCAAACCATTGACGAGTGTATATACTAGTCGTCTTTACATAATACATCCAGATTTTTGCGTCCGCGTTTATCAGCGGTCTCTTTTTGCTTATCGGTGGCCTCCTGCAGCGCATATCGAACATATCGGGTAGCTGATTTGGCGCAGTAGGAATTCTGATACAGCCGCATCGTCAATTTGGCTTGTCGGAGTCTTCAGAGCATAATTGGCCAAGGTAGATTCCACGCCAAAAAGAGTCAAGTCAGACTTCTCCGCTTGTGATCGTGTGGTTACGTTAGCGCTGACGAAACTGTGAGAGACACTCGGCCATTCTTTTGGTGCTCGATAGGGCTATACAACACGGGGTGGGAACCCGTTCGCTGAAACACAAGCTTTCGCTTCACCATCCCCCCCCAGGGTGGAGACACGAAGTGACGAGGCCTGACCGAGAGCAAGTAAGGCGGATACGCGCGATAACGCGTTATTTATAAAACCTGCGCCAGACCAGTCGACGCGTATTCTAAATTGTTGAGTACAAACTCATCAAGTGGCAAAAACTTACTCTAACGGGTTAAACGGGTTGCGTTGCTACACAGAACGTTTTCAAGTTCTCGATTTACGTGTTACATTTGCTCATCTGTCTCCGGATGGGACGCGGTAGACATTTGACGTGTACCTAAATACTCGAAGAGCTTAGTCCAGAATGCAGAGGTAAGCCGAGGATCACGATGAGAAATAATAGACTCCGAAAGACCGTGATTTCTGTTAACGGCATTAATAAAATGACCCGCGGCCTCTGACGCAGTAGCATTAGCAAACAATGGAATGAGGTTACTCATTTTGCTGCAGCAATCCACGAATACCAGGATAGGGCGCTGGGCTTGACTGTTTAGCGTGACACCACAGAAGAACAAGTTCGACTGGCAACTTTGGCTAAATATGTCGGAGATATATGAGTCTGACGAAAGCAGTGCAAGAAGTTGTCTGCTCAAGAATTATTGAGTGTGACTGGTGAATGATGGGCAATAAGCCTGTCATCTGCGAGCACTTCCGGAGCTATTTTTGCACTCGCCAGAGCTCAGGATCTCACGAACGCATAGAACACATTGGCATTCAGCACCATACTGCTCGGGAAAGATTGGAGATAGTCAAGTCATTTTTAAAATACTGTTTGATCAAGATATTGCTGGGCGGCTCGATGACCAAGCCGATTACTCTTCTACCGTTTGAGAATCTTTGTAGTAAATTGGTAAATAAGACGCCAAGACCGGCCGAGTGGAGTAGGAGTACTCTCGAGAAGACGTTTCGGCCAACTGCTGTATATTAATATCAATAGCCATGAATCTGAAGAATGCTTGAAGAAGCAAGTTTAAGGCAACTTGGGACCGGATAGTGTACAAACAGGAGTATAAGTGTTGGAGAACGAGTGACCTACCTATATTCACTTTGCATTATACCAACTTGTACTTTAACGTCCTTAAAGTACAACTTGGCGTTCATATCTATTGATGTGGTCGCGCGCAGAGAAGAACAGATTCGCTTAAACGGATACGGGTATTGCACTAGCCACTCGTATTGCGTCCTCACATTCCGACAAACCTGGCGAGGCTCAATAAGCTTGTCAGCGTTGCCATTCGTAACCTGTTTACGTTTGGGTGCATGAAAATTCGGCGGCGAATGTTTCAGGATTCCCGTTTATGAGTGTGAATTTGACTGCAGTGCTTGTGTGCGAGATGCATTTCCGTCGCAGCTGTCATCCGTGCTGAGCAGAGCTTCTTGCGCCTCTGGACAAAGATCAGTTGTTCTGTCTTCCTCTTGCACGTTATCTTAATGTGCAATTGGTAGTCAGTCAAGCTAGCTACTACTGCAGGTAGTTTTCCAGATTCGGGTTGCTTTGTTTGCTGGCTACGGCTTCGTATTACTTGATCGAGTATCTGTCTCAAATTGCTGGCACAGCGCATCACTAAGGCTCTTAACGAACGGGAGTCAAAGGTTTAGGACGCCTGCATGTATGTAGAGGAAAAATGAGCGAACTTGGTGTAACCACTAGTTGGCGCACTAGTAGCTGTGTGCAATGGTTGTTGGCAAGTGAATGCGAAGGCTGGGGCCTAATGCGTGTAGCTGCAGTCAAAGAGCAGTCGCACAAAGTGGTTGAGTTAAGCGGTGTATATATTGCGATGTGAGACCAGAGGTTGGCCCGATGTGTTGTATATTATACATGGTTCTAATGGAATGAATTTACTACAATAGTCTTCCCTGCCCTACTCCAGACTTCTTGACTTCTAGAGTTCGAACGGACAAACTGCATTGTACTGGATCACAATCTGTTAATGCAAAGAGTTCTGTATGTTTACAAAGTATCGTATCATACGATACTTAAACTTAAGTATGTCAACCAGCTAGAGCAATGACGGAGCTGGATAGATACTTGGGTATCAGCATTTTGCCGATCAAAAAAACACTGCAGATAACAGGATTCCTTGCGCGAAATTTTTCGAATCATGGCGTGCACCAAGGCTACATTTTGTCAAATTTATTTGCCGGCCTTATGCTTAAGCAATTCACACAATGACGTGCTGCTTCAACATAATCCGCAACAAGCAAGATCGAACACAGTCTGATTCGTCGATGCAAGGTGGACGGCCCAGCGTCAAAGCATGCACGCAATGATGAGCAGTAGCCTTGAGTGAGCGGGCCGCCAAAAGCTTCCATAGTCTTCAACGATTACAGCAAGCAGCTCTTGAGGTCGCGCATCCGAATTCTGCTGCACATGTCAACCGCAAGTAACTTGCTCGTCCTGACGCCATGCATCAGCGCGCACATAATGAGGTGCGGCTCGGATATGGCATACAGCACAGTTCGGCCACTATAAACGCGACAGCAACTTTCACTGCACTTTCGACGTCCATGACATGAACGAGCACACGATGAGGTGCTGTAGCCTTGAGTGAGCGGGCCGCCAAAAAGCTTTCATAGTCTTCAACGATTACAGCAAGCAGCTCTTGAGGTCGCGCATCCGAATTCTGCTGCACATGTCAACCGCAAGTAACTTGCTCGTCCTGACGCCACGCATCAGCGCGCACATAATGAGGTGCGGCTCGGATATGGCATACAGCACAGTTCGGCCACTATAAACGCGACAGCAACTTTCACTGCACTTTCGACGTCCATGATATGAACGAGCACACGATGAGGTGCTGTAGCCTTGAGTAAGCGGGCCGCCAAAAGCTTCCATAGTCTTCAACGATTACAGCAAACAGCTCTTGAGGTCGCGCATCCGAATTCTGCTGCACATGTCAACCGCAAGTAACTTGCTCGTCCTGACGCCATGCATCAGCGCGCACATAATGAGGTGCGGCTCGGATATGGCATACAGCACAGTTCGGCCACTATAAACGCGACAGCAACTTTCACTGCACTTTCGACGTCCATGACATGAACGAGCACACGATGAGGTGCTGTAGCCTTGAGTGAGCGGGGCCGCCAAAAGCTTCCATAGTCTTCAACGATTACAGCAAGCAGCTCTTGAGGTCGCGCATCCGAATTCTGCTGCACATGTCAACCGCAAGTAACTTGCTCGTCCTGACGCCATGCATCAGCGCGCACATAATGAGGTGCGGCTCGGATATGGCATACAGCACAGTTCAGCCACTTATAAACGCGACAGCAACTTTCACTGCACTTTCGACGTCCATGACATGAACGAGCACACGATGAGGTGCTGTAGCCTTGAGTGAGCGGGCCGCCAAAAGCTTCCATAGTCTTCAACGATTACAGCAAGCAGCTCTTGAGGTCGCGCATCCGAATTCTGCTGCACATGTCAACCGCAAGTAACTTGCTCGTCCTGACGCCATGCATCAGCGCGCACATAATGAGGTGCGGCTCGGATATGGCATACAGCACAGTTCGGCCAATATAAACGCGACAGCAACTTTCACTGCACTTTCGACGTCCATTACAAGAACGAGCACGCAATGAGGTGCTGCTTGAGCATATCTGTAAAGTGAGCGGCAGAAGTTGTGTGCAAAGCTGAACGCATTGTAACTGGTATCTGCAGCGCACGAAATGAGGTGCTTTGCAGATACTATCCGCTGAGTACGCTAGAGACTTGGAAATCTTGCATAAAGCGATTAATGATAAAGTATAGCATGTGACGTACCAGATTGCATCACTTTGTCTATAAACTTGAAACGAAAAGGCGTATAACTTCTGGACTTGGACATCTTGCCGTGCCGTTAAGCGCATGAAATGAGATGCGGTTTTTGTCTTGAAGGCGAGAATCTTGATGCAAGGATGGTAGGCTTGTGACAGGCGATTGGCACATGGAGTGAGGTGCGTCAAAACAAAGCAGACGAGCTGAGAATCTTGATGTTAGACGTGAACTAAAGAAATGCAGACCGATGGTCTTGAGTCTTGAACGTCTTGAGGAAATTTGTAGTAAATCATCATTTACCTTTTACTCTCAACTGAGAGCAAAGGCGCGCTAATGACGACGCTATATAGGTTATTCTTATGCCCTGCTTGGGGGCTAAATAGGCGTGTACATGATACACACAAAAGTGATGCAAGCTGTGACACTTGAAACGTCGAGCCAAAAACAACAAACATCATTAGTACCACACACGTCACTTATACGAAACCTTGGTATAAATACCTAGAAGAACCGAATTGCAACAGAAGTTGATAGTCCTGCCACGAACCGTTCACGATGATGATTTACATACGAGTGTGTGGGCTCGTTCACATAAAGATGAGTAACATCTTGCAATGGAATCCGTTTTGGTGTCGTAGTTTTTGATATCTTGACCATGGTTTTCTCCTTGAAATGTGCCGTCACGCTTGTTGTTACTTTGTTCTTCTTGAGCTTCTTGGCTGCCTTTTTAGCAGAGATCTTGGGTTCCTGGGTCTTCTTCTTGGGCGTCACAAAGTTTGTTCGTTCTTCTTCCTTACCTTCGTCATTCTCTTTTTTGATTGTATCTTGCTTAAGTGTTGGTTTCTGTTCTTGTTTCTTAGCTATCAGTTCCTCTTCCTTAGCTTTGCTCTGCGTGGAGCGTTTCTTGACATCTCGTTGCTCATCATTACCGTCATCTGAATCATCTCGTCGACGCTTGAGCTTGCAATTTGAAGCTATACCACCATTAAAGTTAAAGGTGTCTCCCTCTTTGATTGTATCTTGTTTGACTGTTGATTTCTGCTCTTGTCTCATGGTGATTAATTCCTCTGCCTTAGCTTTGCTCTGCGTGTGGCGTTTCTTGACAGCTCGTTGCTCATGAGTACCGTCATCCGCATCATCTCGTCGACGCTTGAGCCTGCAGTTGGAAGCTGCATCACGACCAACTTTAAAGCTGTTGTAAATACGTCTCGGAGGGCGTGGAGGTGTTCGTGATGTCCTGGACACTCGGGAAGATACGGAACGAGCACGGCGACGAATAATATATCCAAAGTTCTCCTTGTTCGCTTCATTAAAGTGCTCAAAGTCACGAAATAGAAGCGGTAGTAAGTGATCCAACATGATAAATTGTGACACGAGTGACTTGAGGATTTCAAGTGCGAAATGCGCGCAATGACTTGAAATAAGCGCCAAAATCCAAAAGTCCGGTTCCCGCCAAAAGTAGTTCAAGCGGGAGACAAACCGGTAGGACAAGCGGTATACCGACTAAATGATTTGAAATACAAGAGTGACATGTCAGTCATTGTAGATGCGACGTGCGACGGCGTCACATAGCGACTTTTCATGAGACAGCCAATGATGACAGGTCTAAGAATTGACACGTATATTATGACTTTGGATGAAGCTTATGGTCGTACTCAGCATCTGGTCTCTAAAAACGTATGAAACCAGATAGCCAAAACCTATTGCTACTTACAACGAGATGATTGATTGATATTGACAACATGCTCTGGATTGTCGACGATGATACAGTAGGTAGAGAAGAGAGAGGGGGATAGGCGCAAAGTACGACAGATCAAAGCAGATCATTGATTTGTGGATGAATGCCTTCCTTTTGGTCCGACACGTAAGAGAGTCTAGCACGTCGTGCTCAGGAGAAAGTGGTTAATAATGTGTCAACATCATAGAAAGAACTTGTAAAAAGTGTCCAGCACGAGGTCGTCACGAAAGCAAACTTGTATCTACGGTTAAGAATAGTGATTTACTTGATAGAGCTAGAACTCAGTGCCATCTACGGTTACATTTGCCTATAAAATAACGACAAAACATGTGGTGTTAACACGCTAGGTTGCTTGCTCGAGGCATATTTCAGCAAGAAGCGGCCTTGTTTTAGCCAACGTAGTGCATTTATGCAGACCATGCTAAGTGCTTGAACAAGTTGGCTAGCTGCTCCTATCTTTGGCTGACTATGAAGCGGAACAATGCACGCACTAGAAACACAAACAACCATCTTACAATACTATGGTACGCTCATTATTAGCCTTCCAACGAGCCAATTATAACGTTAGGGGCAATAATAAGTATCCTACTTTTCCTCGTCGCGCCGTTCGCTTCCGGTCTTAGAAGTCGCGTCTATGAATGTTGCTCCAGCCTTCTTGACCTGCTCCCGCTTGCAATAGGTGCTGCTATTCCTCTATATACATAAACGACCGGGTATGGTGTGTTTTCGTCGACCCGTTGACGCATTCGTTCCCTGCTATGATGTGTGAGCGTCGTGATCTCTCGCATCTTGCCTCAATTTTCAGACTTAGATCCACTCCGACCGCATGTCGAAAATGGACGAGCGACGAGGGTTCATCTCGGACAGTCTCTCGGTCGATAACGAAGTCGTCTCCTTTGTCTCTCTTTCCTCGTCTGGCTTGGCAACTTTGGACATCGATAAGGGGTTCTTAAACGAACTGTGGCTAGACCAGAGTCGGTTGGACGGTACCCCGCCATCACTGACCGCAGGAGATTTGGCACTCACCCGAGACTCGGAGTTATTACTTGCTCGGCCACTATATCCTGGGGTAAGACTCTGCATTCCCTCCATGGCAGTCTTGGTCGCTGGGTCCGATGGGCCGCGGTGCTCAACATTGCCCGGTCGGGTCGAAAAGACTGGAATGATTCCACGTGGACGATTTCGTAGTGCAGCAGCGATGCTGGCAGTTGAAGACAGCACACGCCCACTGCGTCTTTGAATCTCAAGTTCTTCTGCTAAAGCCTCCTCAATGTCAATATTCGCGCCGTAGTCAGTCGATCGCTGGAGCGGGTCACTTGGTTTGGGTTTAATGCGGCTAAAGAACCTACGGATGCAACGAAAGAGTGACTTGAACATGATGTTACTTCGACAGCTCCTAGTGAGTGTGAATCCCCTCCCCCTCCAACGTTGTTTGCTGGTTTCTTATCAAGTCTGGATTCAGTTCCAGAATACAGACAGACACACAAAGTGTAGTTAGTCTCATGGTGTTACTTCACTCTGTTTCAAAAAATCACGACGCATGCGACGTGTTTCAGACTCAATCAAATGTATCTCTACCAAATTTTCAATGTGTTTTTTCTTCCACCCGCTTATTGTGCACAAGTAAAAAAGTGCGTCACTGTGTCTGTGTGTATTTTGTTGCTAGATTGTAGTCGTGTCGAATCGCTAATACCGGTTTCACTCGAGACGTCGTTGAGCTATTTCCTTTTGAATCAAGATGGCACTTCGTGAACTGTTGGTAGCCAACACCGCTACATACGCACGCCTCATTCTCAAATTCCAGTTTTTTTTCTTTCATTTAGACTTGAAATTTGTATGTCTCTGCCTCGTCTGTTGCTATTTAATGTCCGCTTTATGAAGCGAATTGTGCAGACCATATTTTGTATTGAGAATAACACTGTATCGTCGAATTATATGGTGTTAAGGTTGCAATAGTAAAGTTTACACCTCGTTTCTACACGCTTGCTCGATAGAAAAAGCTGAAGGCTGACAAAGTTTGGGATAAAAAACGTTTTTTAGCAAAGGATACACTTAGTATACGGACTTGAAAGAATTATCAGAGATAGACCGAATTTTCTATCCGGCTTACTGTGGATTGTATACACTGGATATAATGATTTGCAATTTTAGTGAACCATAATCACAAAATGGTCTTACAATGTATAAAATGGCAGGAGTTTTGATATTTTGACATAAAACATGGTCTATGCAGTAATCAAAGTGTAGCATAAATATTTAAGATTAAGTCAGGTTCAGAGATCAATTTGACACTCCAAATGTAATGTAACTACTTGCAATTTTAGATAAAAAGGCTGTTGGGAGATTCATTTATAGGAAATATAACATGTATATAGTCTCACGTAGTAAGTAATCCATCACACGGTTTCGATAACATTGAAGATATAATGTAGTGGCAATACTATTCAGTACGTGACTAATCTAAATATAGAGAGATGACTATTTTGGATATTTTTTTGTCTAGAAGCTAGATTGATTCAACTTATTCACATTAATAACTAATAATCAATCAGAAATAATACATTACATCTTTTCTTAACCTGTTTAATCACATATCTCTTCTCTAATACAACAACAGTCTTTGCTAGACAATTAGTATGGCAGATAAAGGCACGTTACTCTATTCCTGTACAGTATATCTCTATCTCTATGACAAGAATAATGGTCTCTACGCACAACAAACGGATGCAGCTGTAGGTTGTGTCCTATTACGAAATGATACGTCTCTTTCTACTTCAATTACTACTAGTTTTACATTATTACTATACGATATCCAAAAGACTCCCTTACTACAAGTTTACGTGACTCCAAGCACTCGTTTTGTTCCTCAAAAGGCCAATTACGTTCATTTCTATCATCAAGAGACACAACGGAATTATTCCATGCGTTTTAAGGACGTAGGAACGAGTGAAACGTTTCTAAATGCAGTGGCATTGACAAAATCACAGGTTTTAATCCAATCGACGACTACGTTGCATGAGTCTCAAGCGCCCATTGTATTAGTTGATCAATTAACAGTCGGAAGAGAAGATATCGAACCACTTGTGTATGGAGATGTCGCAGGAATTCGACTCAAGAAATGGCACGGGACAATGAAGGAACGAGATGGGTTTTTTACGACAAATCCGCTTGAGATTCAAAACCAATTGATAATGGACGCAACGAGTGGCAATGAAGTGAGAAGAATTACACTTGTGCAAAGAGAGACGGGCGGGAAGGAAGCAGATCCGTTTGTTTGTGTATTGGCAGGAGAAGCATTGGTAGGAATGCAAAAGATGAGCAAGAGACTCGTGGCTGTGATGTTCCCAGAGACTCAGATGTGGGTCATTGCAGAGCTAGAGTTAGTCAAAGTGAAGAAAAACATGAGGTCAAGTACAAGTGTGATACTTACTGAGCCGACCACTGCAAGAAATAGTAGCGACGAAAAACAGACACAGGGAGAACATGACGATCTTGTTAAGCGCATGGCGAGTTTGTCTCGTATGGGTAGTGAGACGTCAGGGCTGATGGCAAGTGTGATAACTAAAACGGACACCCGTTCATCGATTGAACAAAGTAGCGAGACTGATACACCGCTTCAGCGAGTGTCTTCCAACGGGCACCTATCGGCAGACCCTCCAGCAGGATACGTTCCTGTGCTTTTAGCGGGGCTTCAACTTCCTGGGGAAAGGCCAGGATCGTTCCGTAACTTGCGAAACGAAGTGCAGGCAACGATGCATTCCGAGACAGCCTTGCCTTCGACAACGTCGCTCGCTGCAAAAGCGATCGAGCCGCTGAAGCAAACGTCCGCCACAACTCATGTGGACGCGGATGGTGGCTCAAAGATGGCGCCGTTATCTAACGCAATAGAGCGTTTAATGAAAGAGCAGTCGGATCTAGCTCGGCTTCGTGATCAGCTGGAAGAAAGCAAGCGCAAGCTGCGATTCGAAGACACAAGCGCAAGTGAAGATGCGGTGAGACCTTCACCGTCATCTAGCGGGGTTCACGGCCACACTGCACACTTTACAGAGTCCAAGCCGGCGGCAGAAAAGCAAGCCGCTTCCTTTGTACCCTCGTCATATGCGCTACTGGGCGCAAATGCAGCGTCAGCTGAGACCACATCTTCATATGCGGCAACAACTAGCCAGTGGACTCCGTCGAAATTGGATTTGATGCCGTCTTCATTGGTTCGTTCCTTCCATCCACCTCCAGCTCTTCCTCCAGCTCCATTCTCGTCGTCAATCACGACCTTGACAAATCCATCGTTTCCGCCTTACTCATTAACCCCAGGAGTACCAGGGTCAGGATCGTTGCCTGATGTTGAAAGCGGTGTTATTCGTTTGCAGCGATCATCCACGTCAATCGAGTCCACACTGCAAGATTTACACTTGAAGGTAGATCGATTGTTGAATGTGCAAAACTCGATGAAATCGACTAAGTTTGTAGGCAGCTCAAGCAAATACGGCGTCAGCACGTCATTCTCGCCAGGTTCATCCTCTATGGCGTCTTCATCATCGTCGATGCTGCTCAAAAGTTTGGAAAAGGCCCTTGCCCAGCGCGACCAGCTCCAGGAAGCAAACAATTGGCTCAAGGACGCAAATAGCGAACTTGAGTCAAGTGTTGAGGATCTGCAAAATCGTCACGAATCTCTTCAGGCGGAGAACCGAACGCTGTTGGACAAATTACAAAACGGCAATCGTTTGCAACAAGAAAAGTTTTGCTCGGAAATGCGTAGTGTTCAGCAACAGCTTAGTCACACTCAAGAGCAAATGTTGGTGTACCAGGAAGAAAATTTTCAAATGCGAGCGCAGCTTGCTGCAAAGGACGAGCAGCTTGCAAAGGAGAAGTCAAAGCTACATGAAGAGACACAGAAACAGCTCGGGCATCTCCAGCGACAGGTTGAAGACGAAGTTCGACAAGGCTCAAAGGATGCAAATGAAAGAATAGCGGCTGAAAAGGCCGCACTGGAGGCACAAGTTGCCGAGTTACGTGCGCAGAAGAAGCAGTGGGATGTTGAGCGTGATATGATGAACGATCGGTTGAGTCAAGCTCAGAGCCAGCAGCTTCAATATCAGGATGACTCTGTAAAATCCCAAGCTGCTCAAAACTCGCGCATTCAGGAGCTAACAGCTCGAGTGCATCAACTTGAGAGTGAATCTCGAGGATTGAAAGAGCAAGTTGAAGGGTATTATTCTGAAGCACAGCATTTAGAGGAGCTGCTAGCGTCCAAGGAGCAAGAAATGGTCCAGTTGCAGTCGACAAGACACGAAGAAGAGTATGCGGCACTAAGTGAGCTGTTTAAGGAGTTTATGAACGATATCTACTTCCACTTTCAAGATGCTTTCGACGAAGAGACTGAGTTTACGGGGAAAGAAATCGTGATGGCCATTCGAAAGATTCTCAAACAAAACACGATGGGTATTCTCGCGAAACTGGAGGAATTTTATCAAGAACAAGCACAACATCGGCAGTAGTAATTTGGCCAATTGATCATCTTTATCATTTTGGTTTCACTGACTGCTTACTACGTTGAAGAAGAAGTAGTGGACAAGTGAGAAAGGATTGCAAGTAATTCCTGAGCTTCTGTGAAACTCTCAAGTGGCATGACCTCTTTGCGATGAATGTCAATGAAATGCGACAAGTCACTAACTGCTTCTTTGAGTCGACTTTGACAGTCTGGAAGCATCCTTTCTGTCTCTAGTAATACTTGTTCTTGTTTACGAATATCGTATTCATCCTTTTGAGCAAGACGCATTGTATCAATTTTGACTTGTTGCGTCATATGTTCTTTCATATAATACTCCAGATCCTTCTTCATGCTGTGAATTTGATATAAAAAACAAACAACGATAGCAATATTTCGTTATGAAAAACTATTAATACAAACACGGTTAGAAATGACAAAGAATAATGTCCTTCCTACCGACGCAAAGTGCCCACTTTAATCTCAAACTGCCGTTCAGTCATTTCTAAACTTGTTTGGATTATTGATTTGTGACGCTAGAAATGGTCGTTTAGTTTTTGGAGAGCGACATAAAGTTGTGCCGTTTACGCCGGTATACCGGTTCTTTCGATCAAACTAACACGTTATAGGATATTTGCTCATACTTGCAACATTTCGGTTTTTCCAGTCATTATGTATGCATTAGAAAAAGTATGTCAATGGACTGCTAGCTCACCATATTCTTCAAACTTAGGAGGTCTCATTAACACATCAAACCATTATCCTCTAATTGCTAGAGATGTAAGCCTTTTCCAGCGGGTGCGGACGCGTAATCAAGTCAAACCTGTCTGGACCCACGCCAATCCACTTGATATGCGTGCCCAAAAGCTCCTCCACGCGCAGCACGTACTTTTGAGCTGCTTCCGGCAACTCATCAAACGTCTTGCACTTCGAAATGTCTTCTGACCAACCGTTCAGTTCCTCATACTCCACAACGGAGTCCTCAAGCAGTTGTAAATTCGATGGCATACCGTCCAGCTTTTTGCCCTTGTGCCAATAGGCAACACCAATTTTTACCTTCTTTAGACCCGTCAGCACATCCAACTTAGTCAGATTCAGCTCTGTGAAACCATTTACCATGTTTGAGTAGCGCATCTGAGGGATATCCAGCCAACCACAGCGACGAGCGCGGCCAGTAGTTGTACCAAACTCGGCACCGACCGTGCCCAGGTGGTTACCGATGTCATTGTGCAGCTCAGTAGGAAAAGGCCCTTCACCCACACGCGTGCAGTATGCCTTCACAATTCCAATAATGCCATTCAACCGATTAGGAGAGATACCACCACCAGTGCATACACTACCAATACTTGGGTTGCTTGACGTCACATAAGGGTACGTGCCAAAGTCAATGTCCAGCATTGTCGCGTTAGCACCCTCGACAAGAATTTTCTTGCCCGACACGTACGCATTGTTCAAATATGCCACAGTGTCCACCGTCATGCTCAATATCTTGTCTTTCATGTCGTTGTACACCTTGATCTCAGCATCGGCATCCGTTTTTAGCTCCGGGTAATTGTCCTTGTAGAACTTTACTTGGTCGCGCATCTTCTCTGAAAAGTCATCAAAGTAGCGCAGGTCACCCACACGAACACCGTTGCGCAGCATCTTGGACGAATACGCCGGACCAATGCCTTTCTTAGTGGTGCCAATCTTGTTGCGGCCACGTCGCAGCTCATTGATAGCATCAACCTCCTGGTGCAAGTCAAGTACCATGTGTGCACGGTCCGAGATAAGGATACGGCCTTCATAGTTAACACCCATCCTCTTTAATCCCTCAAGCTCTTCGAGGAAGCTAGGAAGATGCACAACGACACCATTGCCAATGATACATACAGCATCAGGGTTCAGAATGCCAGAAGGCACAAGGTGAAATTTGTACTTCTTGCCCTCGTGTACAATGGTATGGCCTGCGTTAGAACCACCTGCAACACGCACAATCACGTCGTATGCTTGAGATAAACTGTCCACAAGTTTTCCTTTACCTTCATCACCCCATTGAGCACCCAGCACTACATCAACACCAATATTTAGACCATCAGTATGACGATGCGGATTGGCCACCGCACTCTCAATCCGATTAAGTTTCGCGACAACTTCCTTGAGCATCGCTTGTGTGACTGCTTCACGACTTACAGGTTTCGCTGCACCTCCTTCACACTTGACAGTCAAATCATCATCCATACTCATTACTCCAGCTGCACTTACAAGAGCTACAACAGCAGCCATAGGCAGTACATTGCCAAAACGACCATGACGCTGATTGGCCTCAACGGCTAGAGATGCACGAAGTGTAGCTGAAGCATGTGCGACATAAAACTTCTTGCCATGTAGCTGAGATGTAAAGTTCGTGGCTAGACGCGCAGCCTTTGATATGATCTCAAGACGCATTAGAGCAAGTCTTGTTTACTCAAGTCCTCCAACGCCTTCTCGACTGAGACCGACCTTCCGAGGAAATGAGAGAGCTTAGTGGCCACGAACGTGGCAGGTTTTAGACCGTTGCAAACCGGTAAGATACGGTAGAACCGATTACAGCTGTTAGAAGTACTAATTTGATGTAAAATGCAATTTATTTGTAATTTAATAAAGAGATTTACTTTGCTGTGCTCGAACTTATGTGTCTGCTGCAGTCTTAAACTAGACAAATGACCGTAACAACTCAATGACTGTAGAATGGGTCTGGATAGACAGTAGGTTCGTATTTCCATACAAAACGTCAGGACTAACACGAGACAAATGGATGGAAGACGGCACGTATACAAAGGATATTTGGCGTAAATTCTGGCTAACTTGAATCATTCAGACGGTCGTCAACCGTAGAGAATGGTTACAAGTCTGTCATGCCAGCAAGATACAGCCTCTTGCTGTCAATAGTCCAATTGGCAGTGCCAAAGTAATGTCGTAGAAAGTTGTATACTACTATAACTTTTCTTGTGATAGACACACACTCCCGAACTATCTCTCCATTAGTTGTTGCTTCGTAAACCATCAAGTGAACCAATTGCTATTCTCTTGTCTTCGCACCAATAAGATTAAGAAACTTCTTCATGGTTTTTACTTCTTCTCTTACTAACTGCTTTGCTAATTGGGTCTATTACAATGGGATCATCGTCCACTTGACTCTTGACCTTGTCAGAATACAGAGGAACAACAACCTCAATTGACCAAAGTTTGGCCGAGACGAAATCTCATTGACTGGACAACTGAATGAATGTCGTCAAGGTACGAAATCTCATTGACTGGACAACTGAGTGAATGTCGTCAAGGTAGAAACTCTTTCCATCCTGCTTTCATCAGAATGTACGCTCAAACCTCATGCTATTTCATGTATCAGCGTCTTTGCCAAATCGGTGACGCTGCGAAGGTCTGTGGCTCGGACACAGCGAATACACAGCTGCGTCTCTGCAGCATCTACCTCAGGTTTGTGCTTCCAGCACCGCGGGCACTTGTGCCCCTTGGCCGGAGTTAACACCAGCTTTACGTCAATTGGAGCATTGCTTGGACCTATTGTCAATTTGGAGCTCGTTTTGAATTGCTCTGCGCTCTTAATCTCAGCTTCAGAGTCTACGATATCCACGCCAGAACACAGAAACACGTCTTCAAGTTCTGAAGTGCTGCTTACGAGCGGAGACAGTAGTGCTGTAGCGCGTGGGTCGGACTCGGATGCAACAACATACACATTGCATTCAAGTTGGCTACCGACACGACCTGCTTGACGCATCTGCTCCACCACCCGATTCACTTCAAAGCGCAGCTGACGTATAGTAGTCCAGTTTCGGGCCAAGTCATCATTCTTCCACTCCTCGGCACTAGGCATCCAGCCTTCTTCCAGAAATACACTACCAGGAACGTCTTCAAGAGGAATATCACCGTGCAGCTGAGAAACCCAGTGAAGTCGAATGTCTTCAGCAATGTGTGGCACCACTGGTGCAAGGGCACGCGTGAGTGCTTGCAATGACAGCCATAACACGGTCTGCGCACATCGCCGAGCGTCGGAGTTGGCTTTGTCGCAATACAGCCGATCTTTAGTAGCCTCCATGTAGAAAGCTGACAGGTCCGTCGAGATAAAGTGTGAGAGGGCATGCTGGGCGCGGTTGAACGCAAATGCATCATATGCCGCACTTACTGTCTGAGCTAGCGAGTTGAGCTCGTGCAGCATGTAGCGATCGAGTGAAAACTGCATTTTATCATGCGGGACCGCGTGCTGCGCTGGGTCAAAATCCTGCAGGTTACCGAGCAAAAAGCGTGCCGTGTTGCGCACCTTACGTAGCGCGTCGCTGGCCTTGCCAACGACAGCAGGACCAATGCTCACATCACCAGTGTAGTCAGTGGTGGCCACCCAAAAGCGCAGCACATCAGCGCCGTACGCTGGTACCTTGACCTGCTTAACCTTCAGCGTTTGTTGCGGATTGTTGCAATTCTTTTTCGACTTCTTCGATTCCTTGCCAACGATGGGCACTGGCATCGTGCAGCCATTGATAAAATCATTAGGCACGACCGTGTTGCCCAAAGACTTTGACATCTTACTGCCCCGCTCATCCAAAGTGAAGCCGTGCGTAATGACGGTCTTGTACGGTGCCGTTCCCTGCATTGCAAGTGACGTAAGCAATGACGACTGAAACCAACCACGGTGTTGGTCGGATCCTTCAAGATACACATCAGCACGAAGCAGCCCATCTGTATTCGGCTTCCATAGATTAGGAGGTACAGCGTGCCAACTGCTGCCACTGTCAAACCACACATCCAGTGTGTCCATGCCCTTCTTGTACTGGTCTGCCTGATCCTGAAGCGACTCTGGCAGTAACTCGCGTACGGAAAGATCCCACCAGCAGTCAGCTCCTTCGCGCTCAGTCTCATCATTCTCATTTTTAACGTTGTACGTCTTTACAATGCCTTGAAGGTGTTCGATACTTTCCTCCGTGATCAGCGGCTCACCTGTGGCTTTATGGTAAAATACGGGGATTGGCAATCCCCATGCACGCTGGCGAGATATGCACCACTCGTGACGACTTGACAGCGTGGCCTCTAGACGTCGACGAGCGCTGGGCGGCACCATCTGCACCGATTCTTCTAATACTTGCTTCCCCCGTGCATAAAGCGCATCCAGGCGAGCAAACCACTGAGCTGTAGCACGCAAAATTACGGGCTTCTTGGTGCGCCAATCGTACGGGTAACGGTGATGGTATTCGCTGATAGAAAGCAAATTTCCTGAGTCTTTCAGTAAACCAATAACCGCAAGATTGCCTTCGTCTAACACGCAGAGACCATTGAGTTCTTGTCCAGCATCAGAAGTAAAGCAGCCATCGTCATCCACGGGGCAAAGAATAGCCGGATGCTCACCAGGCGTTGTATGGTGCGCCATCCAGACAAAGTAATCGTCCTGACCATGTCCTGGGGCCGTGTGCACGATGCCAGTACCAGCATCCGTTGTCACATGATCGCCCATTAGCACCACCACCTGGCGATTTACCAGCGGATGAAAAAAGTGTGTTCCTTTTAGACTGGTGCCTTTGTGCGTCTCAAGTACTTCCAGCTCCACTTCCGTCTCGTTGTCACGCTTTAATATCGTTGCAAATGTCTCCTGTAGTGCTTTTGCGATCAAATAACAATCCTTCAAGTCTACGTTGCGAGGACGCACAATTACATACTCAAGCTCCGGGTTAAGACAAAGAGCTTGATTAGATGGGATTGTCCAGGGTGTGGTAGTCCAAACTACAGCTGACAAATGGTTTCCATATTTCTTTGTCACTCTTGCTACCTCTTGATTTGAATTTGTCCCTATGGAGGCAAAGTGGAACTTGATATAGGCAGCACGTGATACATGATCGTCCTGATACTCAAGCTCTGCTTCGGCTAAAGCCGTACGAGAGCTTGGGGACCAATATACTGGTTTAAAGCCTCTAAAAATGAGTTTGTCGCGTACCATTGTCTTGAGTACATCGTACTGTCTTGTTTCATAGTTTGGTGTCATGGTCAAGTAGACACTATCTTGTGTTCCAGACCAATCTGCTAGTATCCCCCAACGTTCAAAATCCTTTTGTTGTTCTTTGACTGCTTTTTGAGCCAATTGTCTTGATAATGCACGTACTTGAATCGGTGACAATTCCTTTGCATTTAATTCCAATAGACTTAATGCTTTATGTTCGATAGGAAGACCATGACAATCCCATCCTGGTATATAATGTATACGTTTTCCACGCATCATTTGATACCGATTGATAATATCTTTCAGTGTTTTATTAAGAAAATGACCCATATGGAGACTACCATTAGCAAATGGTGGTCCATCATGTAATACAAAAAGTGGTTTATCGATTGCTTGATTTATATATGCAAGAGAAACACAACGTTTATATAATTCTGGTTCACGTATAGAAGCATTAGCACGCATAGGAAATCGAGTAGATGGTAAATTAAGTGTTTGACGCATGGCTAGAGCCAATGCCTTTGTCTCTACAGTTCCAGGCATTTTGACAACCAATAAGTCAAAATTGGAGGTATATTAATATACCGAATTTGGATAATTGGTAATACTGACCTGTACGGTATCGATCGACCTATACCACAAACTACAAACTCATGTCGGTCGTAAATGATGCAATTGAGCAGTTATTATGTGTCTACCTCGGGCTTCTGGATGAGAAAGATCTTTCTATGGATATTATACGTGACTTTAGAGACTTATATCGTCTACCTTTGCGTTCATATCATGATAAATGTGCCCTTTTACAAGCTGCTGAAGCTTCTGGTTGTTCTCCCGTGATTCAAAACGTCCTTGTTTTTCTATCCGAGACAATGACACGCCCACTCTTTTATAAACAACTAGGAAGCTTGCCCTTATCATTCAATCAATGGTCTTATTATCTAGTAGAACAATGTATGGTAACAAATGATAGTATCTCACTTAGTGCATTACGAGAATTATTGGACCTATACGCTGCGACACAACGATATCGAGAACTAGCAGCAATGCTGTTATCATTGATCTTTGATGCCCGAGACTTTACTACATCGTTAAAGTTAATTGATGATGTACTAGATATTGCTAAACTCTATCGTCATCGATTTCCTCAATGGATTCTTCATCTATTGCATGAATACGTGACATTGTCGAAATTGCAGATTCAAACCGAACTGGAAGATGCCAATACGGCACCAGAAGGCTGCAAAAAAGAAGCAAAAGTGGATAAGAGATCGCGTAGTGTTAGTAACTTACAGGCCAATTGGAGGATGCGATATGTGCATATGACGGAAAAAGAGATTGTGTACTTTAAACACGAGGAAGGAAGACGCGAAAAGTCAAAGAATCCGTTCCATGACAAGAGAAAAATGAGCAACAAGAAGGGAAATTTGGTATTGACAAAAGGCATGCACATTGAACCATTAGATTATCGAGGTAAATTTTCATTACGTCCGTGGTGTGTGAAAATCTGTGACGCGGCAGGAACGGAAGAGTTGATATTGGATGTCTTCACACCCGAAGCCCAACGCCAGTGGGTGGCTGCTCTAACTGCTAATGTAAAGCGTCTTGAACTCGATCCAAGATGGGTAGCGTTCCCACGGAGATGTGTGCATCGAATGACTGTTGGCGAGTTTTTGCGCTATTCGATGCTTTACCACGGCGATGCCAACAAATCACACTCGCGCAACAGCTCATGCCAGCCAGGGATACTCCGTACGCAGTTCAATATCAATGCAAAGCGCTATCTCTTCTCGGCCCTTCTGACCTGTGCATTAGTCCGTGATTGGAAGACGATGGAGGCACTCGTGCAGCCGCGCAGTGCCAAATCCGCAATCATCTCCTTGTTTTCGGGTGGAAATAGTGGTGTCGGATCAGCTTTTACAGCTCCGACATCGTCAACAGCGCGGACCATACCGCCCAGTGCTGCTCCATCTCGGTATTCAATTTGGTCGAACAGTACTGACTCAGTGTCACCAGTTAACAATCGGTTGTCTGCTTCTTCTACTGTCACTCCTCCGACTCCTACGGTGAACACCGTGGTTCATGGAATGGTCGACGCGAGTGCCATTGGCTACGGTGCTATCCTGGATATTGCTGAACAGGAAAATGCCCCACCAAATCTATTGATGCTGTTAGAATCATTGCACGAAAAGAATGACGCGAAGCGGGGAAATTCTGCTGGCTGGACCTGCCGCCGAGACGTGGATGCTAGCGACGCTGCGTCCATGAAGATTTCCATCGACATTCCAGATAGCGTTCGTGTGAACACAAATTGGGAGTGAGGCACTTGTGTACTACACTACACATGTCTAACAAAATAGGAACTGAACGATACCTGCATGAGACTGAACAGCAGTCTAGTGAAATGTGTACTGATTAAGCTCATCTAAGGCCTCACTTACATTACAGACCGCGCATTATTCATGCACTCTACGCACTACATAATAATCTGTGCTTTATCACCAATGCAGCATCTTTGGTGGCAGAGTTAGTAGTCTCCATATCTTTTGCTTGTATGTCGAGTTTTCAGCACCATTAATGACTTCATGACGTTCACGGTCTTTAACGATTCAAGCAAGCAAGTACTCGTCACTTTCTCTTCGAGTCAAATGAGGAACTCCGGATGACAGCAACACTACGACACAGCCACTAGATCTTCGATAAGTGTCTAGTAAACAGTAGCTCTCGGTCGATTCAAGCTTTCAAGCCTCTCAAAGTTAATGAAGTCCATCTCCTTCTTCCACTCCCTCGTCTTCATCTTCGACGCCGCTACTATTGCTGCTTACATCACGTATAACGTCTAGACTAGCGGCTAAAAAAGGCTTGCAAACTTTACTTGACTCAGCAATGCATAGTGGTCAGGAAAGTCTCATGGATACTTGTTTAGGGAATGGAAAATTGTAATAGGGACAGATCTGTGTACATGACTGCCTACACATACGAAGACAACACCATACCTTTGGCTTTTAAGGCAGAAGGTAAACAACAGCATCACACAAATGAACTCAACACACCAACTTGGCGATTCTTCATTAATTACAGGACATTTGCACCTAAAGCTTTTCAGTAGAGCGTATCTTTGTCAGACTACTACTGTCAATTCATCACACCAAGTTATATGTTACCCGCGCAGGCTAAAGGGCCTCAGCTATACGAAAATTACATCGAGAATAGCGGCGTGCCGGTCATACGATGGAATCTTGATATGTGAAACTATTGAAAAAAAGGTGGTCGACTTTCTTGTGCTTGGAAGTTAGTAAGCAATAATATTTAGTAGACACTAAGCCTTCTTGCTGTTATACCACGTGTACATGGACATTAATCAAAATCGCACGTCCCTTTTCGCAGCAGCCGCGCAAAACACACGAGTTTGGCAAGTAGGTAGAAAAGTACGATGCCAGGTACCTACAGCAGACATTCGAGCCATTTTACCGGCATCTTTGCCTTGTTCAGAATTGCATCACCACCCCGAAACTTCATATCATAATGATTGAGTTGAGTTCGGTAAAAGCGGCTTGTGTAGTGGTTCCTAAAACTCGATTCCGGAACTCCCAATGAGCAGCTCTTATACTCAACCGTACCGTCGTTTTGGCTTGATTTGTGGGGAAGGATTGCGCCAAGCACCCAAAATTTTGCTTGATACGACGTGAGAAGCCCCGAAAAATTGTCACTGCACATTGCGGCTGACACATTCGTTCGATAAACCTCTTGCACAATCTTGTACGCTTCATTAAGCTCAGAAGAGCTATAAGACCCGCCCTGGTACGACAGCGACTTCATTCCAATGGACGGAGGGCATTGGTGTTCCCATTCTGTGAGTGCTTTAAGTATTACGTTAGATTTACCAGCACAAGCTTTTTGTACAAAGTCCGAGCCCATGCTTCCTAGCAAAGGCGCTGCCGTGCTCACCCATGTTGAACTTGAATCCACCTTGCACCTGCCATAGCCTACAGCACCAGCTAAAATGAGAGTTCCCATTGAGTGGGTAACAATTATCGTGTTCTTAATGGTGGTGTTCGTACTGCTTTTGCTCACCGAAAGAGCGCAGCTGCAAGCTTTTTGCTGTTGATCCTTTTGTGTCCAAGAATTTTTGATCGTATCCAGATGTGCGAACTTTACCGACAAGCAGCATGGTACATGCTTTGCAATGTCTCCCCAATACGGCAACGAGTTTACAGTTTTTGACGTCTCGCCCTTTACATTGAGACCATGAATGAAAATACACGGACGCGGAGTGGACTTGCACGAACACGAAGTTTTTTCATCAAACAAGAAAGACATCAAGGAAAACAATTTCCTTGAATTTTTTGGAACGGTCTTTCCGGTAAGCAATGATCTTCCAATCGATGAAACCGGACTTGACGATACGTCAACTATGCACTTGAAATCACTGTCAATAATACCCTGTGTAAGTATAGGGGCCACAATATCCACACGAGTGTTAAGATACTCCACCTCAATATCCACATCGCTTCCATACATCTTAAAACTTAAATTCTTTGAAACACACACTGCAAAATTGAATCCGTTCACCAGCACTTTATAAATAATTTTACTGTCACATGTGATAGTATCACCCATACTTCCAGATAAACTTGACACGGGCACGGCATCGTTTAAAGCAGACACAATCGAGTTTATTGGTGGAATATCACTTTGTTCTGAACGCAGACATTGAACGGATGGAGGACTGGAGTCGCTGTTGCGCGGTTTGCTCTGTAAATAAGCAATTCCGTTCACAAGTGTGTAATTGTACATCATTGTATCGTCATCAAATGTAGTCAAGACATTATAGAGAACACTAGTATCATCAGATGATACAACGGGACTCGCAAATACGGAAAAGTCTGATCTTCCATAAAACTTCATTGACCTGCGCTTGACCGTAAAGTGGAAATGTAAGGATGGCCATTCGAGAGCCGCTTCATTGATTGAAGAGTACGAAGTATTCAACACCCTTTCACCATAAACTTGATTTGCTAACAGTTTATAGCTAAGTATTGTAAGTATTTGTAACAAGAATAAACAAAGCGACGGCATTAATAAATACCCTTTGCAGGTTGTTGCGATGATTTGATCAAATCAAATAGTGAACTATCATTCTCCTCTTAACTTGGAGTTCGAGAAGTATGCAAAGGTGCGACATACCTACATTTTGTTACATAAATGTAACTATTATAGTCTGTCAACAAGAAGACAATACAAATTATGTTGTAACGGTATGAATTGTTGCAAAGGTACAACACGTCAAAAATTACGTCGCTACACAACAATATCAGTATCTGAATCTCTTGACAATTTGATAGCTTCGATTTGCTTCAACCTCTATCACGCCTTCTTGTCGTTGATTCGTTAACCTCTAATCAATCTACAGTAAACTGTACTCTGATTAGAGAACAGATTGCGGTAAATGTAAGAAGAGAAGGACTTCTGTCGAAAGCGTCAATCCATGACAAAAAGTGCACATCAATGCACGATTCTTGCCTGAATATTCAACCATAAATAGGCCGCTGTACGTCGTCTTTGCATCCGAAAATGTACCACCACCAACGTGCAGTCGTTGCTAGACACTGCCGCTATTGCAGCACTTGTTAACAACTTGATTGCTAGACCGCCAACGTCAGGCTTTTGATTGCCACACTAGGCTAAAGTTTCCAGCCTTGTCCTTGCATGACATTACGTACAGACAATTAATTAAGCTTCGCACATTATGTCAACGATGGCAAGGACAGAAACTTTGCTAGAGCAATAGGCTACATAGCGACTGTATAACTTATGATATGTTCGATTTTAGTGGCATGTTTAAGTCTCGAGTAGACGTCTACAACTGCATTTAGACAGATCATACACACTGTGGTGATTGTTACTCAGTCGCTCAGCAACATCTGTGACAGTGTGGCCATGAGGCTATAGGCAAATCAAACACCTTTTTGTGGTCTAAATGTGTAGTCTCAAGTACTTGGCAGTTCTTGCGAAAGTGCTGGGGGTGCCGAGAAATTCAATAAAAAGTATAGAACCAAAAGGGCTAATGGGCTAACCCGACTTTGATGAAGGGTCGACTAATGTAATTTCTTAGTCGCTCTTGGTCACATTCTGAATTAAGACAAGTAGGTACCAGGAGCGAAGTTTGGAACTTTCTACCGACGCCGAGGATAGGCCAAGCAAGTCATCTAATTGGGTGATCTACCCTGTCAACCCGCAATACTATGGTGTGTGATCGTTGGGTGGGCTGGACAAAGTGTGGTGAGAAGTACAGACCCAGTCTTGTATACAGGTCAGTAGCTGCTAACTTGTCCGCCAGGGGGTTTCCAATCCTCGGCACGTGGGTTCTGGTGGTTTAAATCTCAATATTGAGCTGTGCCCTGGAAGGCGTATGCAATGTAGATTTGCGCTATTTACGTGTTAACAGAAGGAATAGGCGTCAACAGGTAAGAGGTGGCTGTGCTTTTTATAAACTAAAGCTTTTCCTGCCGCCACAATACTCTATGAGGTACATCATAGATAGTATCCCACGTTTAATGTAATCAATGCTTTGTGTTAGAATGAAAAGGGCACTCATCTATTATATGCATCTTATTCTACATCAAGAAGCTCCAGACAATTTGTGTGCCAGTTCGTTGAAGTAGTTTAAACACAGCCTTAATGTTGCGTGAAATAGAATTGGTCTAACCAGATCTTTTCACATTTACCAGGTAGTAATGATGACCACAAACGCTTCTTTGGAGTTTGTAAAGTTAAATGCGGAGGTATTCAACAGAGCACCCTATTATAGATAGTTGCTCCGCCCCGGAATCAACTTCTTATACAAAATGATCATCAGCGCGCGGAGCATCTGATGTCTGACTCATGAGCACAGCATGCTTCTGTCTCACCATCTTCGCTGTTTAAAGCTGGTTCCGATCGATATCTACATTGCTTCCGGATCATGGAAGGGTACAAACAGCAATTTGTCTTGCGATGTTCCTTATCTTGCCAGCTAAGTGTCAACAAACTGAAGAATTGACAAGCGGGTCGTGACAAAGTAACCGTTGTTGCCTGGGATCGCCTTGAGACGATGTCACAAGAGAGCACAGAATGAGACCGCTCCAAAAAGAAGACCAGCATACCGACCGTAACGAAGCTGTATATTTGAACAGGTTACATATAAAGCCCTTCCGACAGTAGACACAATCTAGCTAAATATTGACACTCTCAATTTTGAGTTAATGTGCTATAACGCTAATAGGAGTAACGTATGTAGTCACCAACTAGCAGTAGATTATTTTTCCAGGGCGAGTCATCCAGCTTTCCGTTCAGGTCCGTGCACTAAAACCAAGATGCACTAAAACTTCACTGAGCTTCAAATCAATCTACGTTAGTCCTTTGATGTCTCGAAAAAAGCGTTGTTCTTCTCAGAGAAGACAGCAGCTTGTGGCTTGGAGATGTTGTGCGTGCTTCAGAACTTGAACAAGAACGAGCGTGGTCACGATAGTCCGCGGATCAGCGGCAACTTCCTGTTGTATTCCAGAAGCACTCGACTTGCCAGAGCATTGCAATAGTACGGCGCCCGACAGTATGCAAGCATTAAAATGCATGGTAGCGGAACATAACGGAAGTGCCACAAAAACTTCCTCATGGACTTGGGCCACGTCGCCACGGTACACAGAATGTGCACAGCAGCCATGCTAGTCTTCGAGATAAGAGTGACGGGGTCGGCGAAGGAGAGATGTATAGACATGTGGGCATTACAGTATAATCGATTCGTGGTGAACGGTGCGCGTGCTCCTTACGGCATTCTTCACATTCTTGACCTCGCCATCTTCAGATATGCGCGTGCAGGATCACCATAGCAGCAATATAGCAAGAACCGATATAGCCTCCGACGCAAGGCAATTTAACTCGAGGGACAAGGTGTCAATCTTTCCGAGTATTATATTGAAACTATTAGTTTGTAATTCTATTTTTATAGTCTAAGAATAGCAGAAGTGGAATGCGTTAGTTGTGCGTTGCAACTGAAGTCGTCGCACATGCATTTTATATTGTTTGCTTAGTTGATTAAAAACGATAACGTCGGACACAAATCTGACATTTTGTCTATTTTAAAGAGACAAGATTTACTCGAGGCGACTTGATCGTACACGTTTTTACTCGTCCAGGCTACCACATTAGTAGCAACAAGTCACACTAATTGTTGCACTTTCACGACCATTTTACAATAAGCACAAAACAATAATGTCAGCGTTTAAACACCGCAATGCGCTAGATTGTTCGGTGCACTGCAGACGACCACCCGAATACATCGGCTTGAGTTTATGGAGCTCAGCTACGACGTGAGGCTTCAACTGGCAATTTGCGTGAAGAATAGTGTGGAAGCTACTGACAAGATGTTTTACTATGATGCTATCTTATCTCTTTTTTTACATGATGAAAAGGTATGTTGGGACAGAGATGTAGGTTTAGACAAAGCTTACAGCCGAGAACTCTGAAATGAAGGGCGGTGGACATTAGACGCTACAACCAGTGAGCAGTCTGTCTAAATCAATGTTAAGTTTGGTGATCTTGTCAATTACTTACCATGTGTTTGCTCTATCTCAGGAAATCTAACTTGAAATCAGCAGCTTTAATTGCAAGTAGAATACAGCGTGAAGACCCGCAGTATCTAGGATGACAATACCAGAACGTATTGCATACGCCTTAAGCAGCATTTTGTACAGGCCGCGGAGACAGCCCACCGCGGAGACAGCCCACGCAAATGACGTTCATTGAGCGCATCCAGATGTGCACGGAGATATCAATTGAAGCTCCTTTGGGCTTCCAAGAAAATCGGCTTCAAGAGTAAACGGCTGGGGCAAGCAGCTTCAATTGTGTTGCATGAAGCTACCGTCCTGATCTTTCAGCGCATTCATGTAGTAAATTTAGTGTTTACACAAAAAGATTGGCATTGTGGGCCGCACTGGCGCTGACAAGAGTATAATTGATTGTGGGTTCCATGCACTTGTGGAGATGGACGCGGGATTCATCACGATTGAAGTTGTGGCATCAGCAAGATTGTGCTGCACGACGAGCGTGCCAATATCGCTATCATCCTGGAAGACGCTGTGCTGTGCTCAGGCACCGTACAATCAAATCTGGACCGGTTTGCTTCGTTCTCCGACGATCAAATCTGGACTTTGGTTGAGCATGAGCTGCTGCAGAACGCTGTTACATCGCTTGACGACGCCGGCATTGATCCAGTTGGTGGTTATGTCATCACCAATTATATATTTGGCGAGACCATACTGTCGTCACATTTTGTAACTATCATACGTTAACACTTGTGTCTTTTTCAGTGTTTAATTGACTATAACATTTGCTTCTACTGTACGTGGAATGCATTCGCAATTTTGCGAGATAGCGCAGGTTTTTGCAAAAGTTGCTGGAGATTTGCGCTCGATGACATAGCTTTCATTTTGTCGCGCTTGCGCACATTTGGATGAATGCAATTGTAAAGCAACTTTACTCTGCTTTAACTCATAACTTTCTTGCTTGACTTTCTTGTTCGCTTGACTTACTACAACGCGAGCCAAAATGCACGCGCGTGTTCTAGCTCAAGCACACGTGACGCTTACTTTACGCTATTACGCAAAGTAGCCAACTTTGGGATGTTTCAAACAAGACCTAATCTATCGACGCCGCCGCACGACAGCGTACTTTGTCATGACAGCCTCATGCTATACAAAACATTCTTAGTATAGCCACTGCTAAACATTTAAAGCAGACAACGTGATGAAGGCTAGTTAAAAAAGTGCAGTGTAAAACTTATTATCTACAGATATTTACGCCTGCGATGTCATTGTCCTTGCAGGAACAAGAGCAACGAGCCGTTTGCTATCAGATAATTACAACAAAACTTTGGACCGCGCAAGAATAACACTCTCCACAACCTTCTCCATTGCTGCAGTTCCTTTACCTCAAGTTTATAAAATTGTGGCACGATACTCAGCAGTTCATATACCGAGCTACCACTCAAAATTGCTACAATTGGAACGCAATTCTGCTGTACTAACTTAACGCAGCTAGCTCATTGAAAGGTGACTCAAATTGACGCACCACGGATCGCAAAGCGAACTATGGCATTACGATTACTTTAAACAGCAGTGGTCACTCCAGCGATGACCTTTGGCTCTAACCCAACACTACTGCAGTACAGCACATTCTTCATTTGGAAAGAAACTGCGTTGCTGCTAACTTACATTCGTTGGGCACTTTCTAGTTCAAAAATTACAGTTTACATCTTCTCTTTCATTCAAGTCCGGTTGTACAGAAACCCGATAGCTGGCTTGTGATCGGTGTGCTTGCCGCTCTCGTCTGTAAAACGCAGGCTGAGAGGTCTTCCGGATTGGCTTTGATTCCGCCTTGGATACGTCAGAGTAGTGTATACTGGCAATTTCGATACGTTTTGCCGAGGTTCTAATCGACATATGGCCACTTTCCAGCATCGAGAAATGACTGCCGCTGTGATGCAATTTGCGCTCACGAAAGTCACTTTCCGACATGGCACTCCAAGTTTTCTTGATAATTTGCATCTCATCGTCGTCGTCTAAATCATCGCTACACTTTGGCGCTCTTTCTACTCGACGACCAAACTCGCGGTAGAATCGCTGTGTGAAGTCAAAGTTGTTAAAGCGCTGGGCCTCCTCTTCATTGCTGCCACCGTCGTCGTCACTGTCAGTGCTGCAGTAGTGCTGACTAGTATTGGACTGGCGCCTGTGGTCGTTTTGAGTCATCGTAAATGCTCGGGTTGGCACTAATGGATAGTTGTGGAAACCTGGGGTGAGTGACACGACAGCAGATGTTCTCGTTGCTGCGCTGGGTGACGTAGGTTCTTGTCGAGCAAATGTATCGATCGTGCTGCCTACACTACATGATGGAGCAACGCGTGCGACTGGTTGGTGAGCTTTACTCTCTAGGAAGCATTCAATATGGGTCATCATGCTGAAGCAAATTGCAGTCAGCCGACGCTGGCGAACAACCTCAACAACATCGAGTGCCTGTTGCAAAAAGCGATTAAGAGCTAAGCATCGCGCTTCAATAACGCGCTTCGAGCGTGAGCCAAACAGCTTACGGGGTGGAAAGTGCTTAAACACGTAGCAAAACCTATCTGACGGGAGTGGTGCGGAATACTGTTGATACTTTCCACCACGATACGAACTGTAACTACTGACGCTTGAACTGATGTTGAACTTGGTATTGTAAATGCTGCTTTCGACATTGTCAACTTCCAGACTTGTGAGATACGTAGCCATTTGATCGTCAATCAGGGCGAGGAGTTTCTCACGCAACTCGCAGAATTCCGAGAAACAGCGGCGGATGTGCCAACTCTGTCGGGTTTTGTTGTTCATAACTCGCAGAATGTACACAGTGGATGGTTTGAGCGCCAATGCCGATGTGATTGAAGCCGATAACTCATTTGTGGAGCTGTTCATTGTGTCAGCGGTGAATCCTAGAATGCACCTGGTGATCCTTACTGGGACCGGGTTGATTAGTCGAGGAAGGTTTCGTGCGGTTCGTTGGAATCGGCTTCCACTTGATTGTTTGCCAGTTTCAAGATCCATTATTATGTCACAAGACCGCAAACCTCGATAACCGACGCAAGAAGCATTTGAGTCTGACACGTTGCGACTCGAGTATCTCTTGACAGGTGAATTGGAATACAGTAATCGTTTATTGAACGTCGCCGTATTAGGATCTCCATCCACTGGCCTTCTTGCTGGCCAGAAACTAACTACATTCGATAGAAGAAAAAACTCACGTTAAGATTCTTTCGTTTTCAAGTGTCGCCGGTAGTGTCATTGACTTTTTCTCTTGCTGATTTACTTGTTAGCTTACTGAAATATCTTTAGATGAGCTCGCTTTCCGTCTAACAAACGTACTAGTAGTCATTCTGCTTGTGACCTTGAAAAGACGCATTAGCTTACACTTTTGTTCCAACATGGTCATGTGAGCCTTTCACGTACGTGAAGCTGAAGGTCCAGCGTAACGACAATACGCATCAATTATTTATCAGCAAAACATTTTGTAGCCAGTGCTTTCGCTTTTTGACGCTATTCTGTAATGATATCAACGAGATACATTGCAGTAAACTGTGCAGAGTTGCAGCAGTTCCATGAAACTGCAGTGTGACTGTTTGTCCGCAGAAGAGTTGCGTGTATGATTGAGCAGTTACATTAAGTTTTATTTGCGAAATCTGTCTGTGGCTTCTTTGCCTTGCAACATTCAATATGCATGACAATTGTTATGTTTTATAATTCATCATCAAACGTGCGTTTTGACTGCCACTTGGTCCAGCTATATTCACGTCGTGAGAACTGCTTCGGTAAACACACTTTTACAAGGCTTTGGTGCAACAACCGTTCTCGACAATGAATCGTAGGTGCCAATCGCCTTCCCCAAGAGTCTCACCTGGCACCCCAATCACACTATTGAATGTTTACTTGAGTTCTGATTGAACCCAATCGATTGTTCTTTGCTGTCACCAGGCCTGCACCAGGCCGGTTGGTGTGACTGGTGGAAAAGTCGTGACGTGATCACTAGAAGCGAGATGTGTGTAATATTTACTTGCTGGTGCTGGATATACGCTCATTCTTTCATGATAAGGCCATTGTTTCGTGTACTAACCATACTTTGAATCATTCTCGTATTCACTTAAGCTTCTTTGTTTTGGTCGTCGTGAGGTCTGGATTTACTTGTTAAGAAGTACACCCGTTTTTATACCTTCAATAAAGCTCTGCAGGGATGTGATTACGGATATGCAAGATCAGATTGGAAGGTTTGCCAAGAATTTTTTGCAATGTTGGCGTTTGTAAGAATAGTCATGTCTGATGAACTCGTTGGACAAGAGTGCTTGTACTTGGACATAGAACAGTAGATGGAGAAGATAAATTGAAGAGTAACGGCCACGAAAGGCCCTCGTATGATAATGAATGGGTGAAGGCAGTTGCTATGACAAAGTAGCCTACATTATGTGGAACAGCCTAAATATGAGCAGAAACAACGATGTAAACGTTGACCTTGCTAAAGGACAAAGTTAATTGACCAAGTGGTAAATTGATAGTGGTGTAATAGTGCACATGACACTAGTTTGCGACAATCTCTTTAATAGCTATAGTTACAACACGAACACGAAATTATCTCGCAGAAAAGCGTGGCTGACGGGTGTCGACGGCAAAGCATTCAGTTGGACATCTGCGGCTTCGACTCGTGGCGGGCGGCTTGAGTCGGAAAGCTGTCTATGCGCGATTTAAGCGTCCATTCTTAGCATTTTGTCATGAATAAAATTCTGGAACAAGTCAAAGGAGATCGTGCTCAACATGAAGGTTACAAGACTTACGTGCTACATTGGCTAGAAAAAGATACAGCGATGCAGCAATAGCAACACAACCAAACGTCTACGCAACTCGGATCTCTTCTTGGAAATAGTCTGACACACGATAACGATTACATTCGACAAATGCCACTTATCCAGACAACATCAAACGCTTTAATATGTTCTCGAGTTGACAAAGATGGTATGCTAGCCTCGCTACATCTGTGCTCGTTTATACAGCCTCAAATAATCAAGACACTGAAGAATTGCCCATGTGTATCTGATAGGCTTTCGAGCTTGCTGCTTATCACCAGTAATTACCCCATAATGAATATTCTACTCTTTCATTTTAGTCAGGAGATTATGTAACAATTGTGTAAATCGATAGTAAAACCTTCGGTAAACATTGCGCAATATAATGAAGTCGACGGACTTGTCGTCAGCTTTGGTTGACGCGTCCGCAGGGCCAACAAATTACTCTAAAGCCTCGATATCTAGTACCAAAGACGTGTGGAAACTTAAACGCGAGAGCTGTGCAAATTTACGTGCCTTTGAGGCCCAGCGCAGTGCTCAGATTGACAAGTTCCAGGCTCGAGATCGTGCCTATTGGCGGCAATTTCAGGAAGAAATCCGCCATGGAAGTGAAGAGATTACGCGTCTTCTGCGCTTTTTTGCATTGCGATTGCAGGCTGATTTAGCGTATGCAGATGCTCTTCGACAAACGCGTGCGGCACTGGATGCTCCTACAACGCAGGGGACATCAGACGCAAAAGGTCTGGCTAACAGCGAGCAATTAAGCGTGCAGTCATCTGTTTTTAAAGCATTGCATACAGTAGGAGAAGTTCAGCAGCAATTGGCAGAAAAACTAGTGCAGCTGGCGACGGTTGTGAAGAGAGAAGTAACCTCGAAACCATTAGAGGAGATGGCGGCCACGTTTAAGGAAAGAGCAGCAACAATGTTAGCTGAAGGAGAAAATCTTGATGCCATGTTGTTTCAGTCGCAGAAGAATGTGCTGAAATCGTTTGACAAGTATGAAGAATTGTTTAATCAGATGAAGTATGAGAAGGAGAACGCTACTGATACAGAGAGGGTGGATTCAACAGCGCGACGACAGGATCTCTGGCTGGCAGAGGTAAACTATTGCATTAATGTGCAAAAGCTGCAGCAATGTCGTGTGGAATACGTGACGGGGATGTCGGCAATATTCCAGCAGTATAAGACGATGGAGGTGTGGAGAACATCAGTGATCCAGACGGCACTGGATACATATATTCGGAAGCAGAAACTTACGTATAGCGAAATGGCTGGCACCATGGGAGAACCTTTGGCTGTTGCACAGGTAAAATGTACACTGGACGTTGTTTATGAGATGACATTGGCGTTAGCGGGATTAACAGTATCTTGATGTGTAGAGGATTGATCCAGGACGAGACCTTTTACAGAGTTTGCGAAAGATACCGAAAAACGTACATGTGCTACTACGTGCTCCAAAGTTGGCGTGCGCTGGACTCACGTCTTTGTTGTTGTGCCATGTATTCAGTACACTGCAGCAGCGTTATCCGCATCTGAAGACACGGATGCAAAACTATTTTCAACTTTGCGGTCCCCCGTTGCAAGTCCGCTATTAGTGCGTTGTGGATTTTTAAAAAACCAAGTGAGCGGCTCGCTGTTTACGTCCTGGAAGGACGTGCTGTGCGCCATTACGCAGGACGGATGCCTGCATCTACTGGATTTGAAAGTGAACACAACCCGTTCCATACTAGATTCGACGGAGACCATGTTGGCGGCCATAGCCACGAACGAGCAGGAAAAAAATGTTACCAGTCAGTCGGTCTGTTTGATGAACTGTCGAATCGAAATTTTGGGAAAGAGCATTAAGCCGAGCTTTGAGATCACAGAAATCAGTCCATCATCTGGGTTACTGAGCAGCATGTTGCGACTGGGAGTCTCTCGGACGCTGACATTTCAATGCCCGAGCCAGAGCAATCTCATCGATTGGGTTATTGCTGCCAAACGGTTCATTTCAGCCGGGTCATCGATGGTGAATAGATAAGTGAAGGCATACTGATTCAATAAAGCAACTGTTTGATGAAAGGGTCGTATTTGACGGGATCTCTCCATCATCGGTCTCATGGTTAGGAGCTTATTATATACATGTATTCTTAGACTGTATACACCATGGTTTTTATCCAGGATTTTTCCAGTTTTTATGTGCGTCACATCAGGCTCTGTAGTTTACTGGCAGCCGTACAAGCACGACACTTTAAAGAGCTATGGGATTATTAGACGGACTGATCACGGGCTTTGCACGCAAAAGTAAATTTGGACGCTCGCACTCATTGCGTCCACTAACAAGTAAGCGTGCAAACCGTCGCTTCTATAAAGGAAACGGTTGTCGCAATGAAGGAACGCATGCCAAGCGCGGTCGGTACATTGTGGACGAGGACAAACTTTTGCAGCTCGAGGTGCCTGATCTCACGGGTTTTAAGGTGCATTTCTTTGTCATTATTTGCTGTTTGTTGTTCATTTGACTTTAGGTAATTAATTGACTGTCTGTACTACAATGAAAATACAGCTCAAGGCGTATGTGTCACCATTGACACCCAATCGCCGTCCGCAATAAAGGTTTAACGAGACGAATGTTTTCGTTTTATAAGACAATACGATGACGTGGTTAGATTCAACAAGATGATGATGATGATGATAGTGTTATTTTGGTTTATTTAGAATAAGTAGCACATTTATAAGGTGGACTACTGTGACAGCGGACTGCTTACGAAATGGTACAGCCGCAAGTGTGACCCTTGCGCAGCTGTTGACACTCTTCGCTCAGCAGATTAAGCTCCATCTCTTGACGCTCCTTCTCCTGAACTACACGCTCGTACTCGGATTTTATGCGAGCCAGCTCACTGTTGATCTCTATCTCGCCTGTGAGCTTTAAACCCGTGGATTTTTTGCGCTCGGTGTTTACATGCTGCTTCGTAGCTGTTTCATCTTGCAGCAAACTCTCCAGGTCGGCAATGCGTTCACGTTGAGCCTGAGACTCCGCCTCGAACCGCACCTTCTCGGACATAATCTGCGACGATTGCAGCTGCATCTGCTCGATCTGCTCCTTGTAAATTTGCTCGCGCCCACCAACGCTTCCCAGTTCCTCCTTTACTTTCGATACATCTCCCTGCAGCGTTCTTATTTTCTTCTCATAGCCTTCCTCCTGTCGGCTCAACATAATGCGCATGGCCTCGGCATACTTGGCCTCTGAGAAAGTTAACAAACACTCAAGTTTGGCTCCGCCACGAGCCTTTTTCAAGTAGGCGTCACGAAATGCCAGCCACTCGCGCGAGAACTGTTGCATGTCAGCAAAGCCGCCTGAGTCGTTGTCATTGGCAGAGGTCAGCTTTGGCTGAATCTGGTCGGCGTAAAGCACTTGCAGCAAACGTTCGCACATCTCCTTGCTCTGGGCTGCATTGTTCCGTGTACAAGCAGCCTTGTCGTCTTCCATACGCTTGCACAGGTCTACCTCCAGCTTCGACGCACTAGCTCCAAGCGCAGCAGCACGGTACTGTGCCACAGCTTGCTCTTCGGCATCCTTAATCGCTTCCACGAGGTCTTCATCGTCAAGAGGCAGCTCCAGAGCGCTGAGACTCTTCCTAAACGCTTCAGCAGCGGTCGTCATTGCCTTGCGGGACTCGCTCGCGGTTACACCTTCCCACGCAGACATGATGACTGGAACGCCACCACTGTTAATTGCGGCTACGTAGGCCTGTAATAAGCCGGCAAACATGCTACCATTAAGAGGCTTGCCTTGCAGCATCTTGGGCTGCAGACTGTCACCGTACACAATCTGCTTAACGTCACTTAGTTGCTGCTGAAAATCTAGGCGTAAATCTGCTATTGGCATCTCGTCTACCTGCTGCAACTTTGTTTCATCGTGGACAGGACGCACCAGTGTGACGCAGTCGCGTTCACGAAAAAAAGTCCTTCATCATAGCACGAATCCTATTCCGCTCTGTATTTGCTATAGTGCGCGGTTGATCTGCCAATGCTCGCTCCAGATAGTCGCTACTTGAGATCGTGTCTCCATCTTCATCAACTAACTCCAATGTAAAGTCTCTAACAACCCACAAAAAGGACGGGAAAAAGCTGTGAAACTGCATCACAGCTTCATCTTCACTCTCATCTGCCGAAGCACTAAACTTAATATGCTTTGCCAAATTAGCAATAAAACTTAATCCACCAATGGCCTTCTCATCCACGCTTCCTTGACTGTTATAAATGAGTTTGGAGCATAGTAACGTGGCCAATGAGAAGATACGTGCGTCATACTGAGGTGAAGCCTCGAGGCCGCCCATGCCCTCCGTATCCAGCATTAAAACCCAGACAAATTCTCCATTCTTCATTATTCGCTTCTGTGGTTGTCCCCAGAGCCAAATACCACGTGTACAGCGCTCAATTGTGGGGCCCACACGGAACCCGCTCTGTCTGTCTAGCAACCAATTAAGCATGGAACTTTTACCTGTGCGATAAGGACCTGCCATAGCTACCACAGCAAGATGTCCATCTATACAACGCAACAGTTCCAAAGCGTCTTCATTCACTTTGAGCTGATCTTCGTCTTCACTAAACGTGATAAGTGGAACAGGCGCCTCTGGGAATTCTTGCATTGTTAACATGCAATAATGACAAGTATAACATAAACTTTTATGCGTTTTGATTGGCGTACAATTATTGCTGGTAATTTTCACAATAAGCAAGTGTATGTATACATGGGGTATACACGTGTATAATATTTTAAGCCGAGGGCTCGGCCACAGACAGGCCCGTGATGCTTGTGCTACGACGTATTGGGGCTCGTTGCACCACTCAAAGGGTTTCAATAAGATCAATGGCAGTATCATCACAGCTATATTCTTCGTCTATATCCTGTTTGTTATCCTTCTACGATCAAAAACTACAGTGTAAACGCTTTACAGCGTCGTCTCAGACAGCTCGAGATGGTCGAAAGATGGACAAATTGGACTTGCCACCACTTCCGACGGCCGACGAGGTTGATGCTACCATTGCAGCTGCAGGAAGCAAAAGCAAATAGTAGACAGATGGCTAAAAAGGTACAACATATGCCGATCCGTGCTGTTCATATTGCTCGAAAGATGGATATTGCCAACCTCTTTGAGAAGCTCTACACAGACAGATTTAAGGTCACTCATTACCTACACAAGGACTCAATTGTATTAAGACTAAGTGGAAGTAAGAACAATGGCCATGGTGGACTAGTCACAGGCATAGCACCACCCATGGTACAAAGTTCTTGTAGCAGTAACAATATTGATGCTGTCTCGACACTGAGCATCGGATCTGGAGGCAAGACTATCACATCTCGGCGTGGCATCGATAAGTGGGTGGTATACTTTGACTATGGAGCTGTAGTATTTTTCAATTGTGATCAGGCTTTAGTGGGTACATTGATTAAACATGCCACACGCTTCTGTAGCGATGTATTTGAGATGCGTGGACACGAGGAAGAGCTACTGCTAATTGGCGACCCGGCGCAGCAGAAATGGAGCACCCTAGTGGAAAATAATGTGCTAGTGCGTGAGATTGATCATATCAACGTACACGTGATTGCTGGTGTGCTCTCACAGACAGTGGCTCTTGAGTTCTACGAGCGTCAATGCGAGACCATTTTATGTGAGTTTGAAAAGCTAAACACGGATGTAGAGAAGAAAGGCCCCCGAGGTGCTCTGTTTGGACGCGAAAATGAACAAACAAAAAGGTTGTTTAAGATTGTGGCGTCGAACAACACATTGCTGATTGATCTTGTGAGCAAATTACGTGTGATTGACCGAAAAAGACCTGGCGACCCGGCGTGGAGTCAAACAAGATATCACAACATGTGGGAGTCGCTTCTGGAGGAGTTCGAGCTAAACGAACGCTTTCAAAACCTTAATTTCAAGCTGGAACTGATTCAGCACAATACCAAGGTGGGTTGTGTGTTTGGTGGTATGTGGTAGAATGAGTTGCTGACAGACCTTTGTGTAGTTTTTCTTGGAGGTGTTGGACTCCCATAAGGGCGAGCGACTAGAGTGGTATATTATAATCCTCATCTCTGTAGAGCTGGGCATTGGTGTGTATGAGCTTCTTATGAAGCTGGCTTAGATCGGAATATAAGTTAGTTCTTGCGGAATGATATGCAGATGGATATGGTCGAGCATTTAAAGGCCTGATGATAGACTCTTTTTCACTTTTAGAGAAAAGTCACGCTCTCACTCACTAACACTTGTCCACCAATGCACGTCCCGCTGCTTGCATGTAGCTATCCATCTATCTCTTGGCCCACTGAGCATGCTCGTGAGGAGCCTTGCGGTCCGTGAAATGAGACGCCGGCTGACGTCCGCCACCGTTTACATGCTTCCAGTAGTTGTTAAAAGATACAAAATCCTCTGGACCCAGATCAACCGTCTTCGTGCGTAGCATCGCAGCCAGAAGCGAGCGAAGCTTTTCCACCTGAACCGTGGACAGCATTTTGGAGTTATCCTGCTTTTTACTACTCTTACTGTTTAATAATCGGGCCGAAGTCAGATCTTCCATACTCAAGTCGTTAGCATTCAACACCGTCACACGCATCGTGTGGTAGAGATGGAATGCAGTCCAAAATAGATGAGACCATGCACTACCAACAGTGTGACTTGGACTGAAACTCTTGTACTCGTACCGAAACGCCACAAGGTGCACACGGGTTTTGACCGACAGGTGCTGCAGCACAGGGATGAACCTCAACACGGCTTTTCCATTGCTACAAACTCCTTCCGCTAGCACCACAATCGGTCCAGAAGCTCGACGCACCACCTCTGCAAGTTTCCGTGTGGGCTTGACTCGTTCGGCACTCACAGGCATTGCCAAGGACCTGTACAGCGCCTCTAGCAGTCCACAGACGTGCACAAGACTTATATCATCACTCTTACCTTCTTTTGCTAGCACAAATACCGGTGAAAATCGTTTAGCAAGGTATAAAACCTCCAAAAAGCTCGTGTAGTTGCAGACAACGACATCACCACGTCCGACTCGAGAAGATCCCTTGGAACTCTTTTTGATGTTATCAGTGGTGAGTCCTAACCGACGCGTGTTGGCAGATTCTTCGAGAGTAAAGACACCAAAGAGAAAAAGCAGTAAAGAACACAGCAGCCACTCAGTCAAACGCTTTAAGAATCGCCCTAGAAACGGAATAATTTTTATTACGGCTACAATAGACACGATAATGTTGACAAGAATGAGTGCCACCGTAGATACGAACACCAATGGAAGCCGCACGAAAGCCAGAAGGGAGCCACATGTCACTTGTAAAATGGTCATAGGCCATCCAGATGTAAAGCGTCGACGCTGAGGCACGAATGGGTTAATACCCGTCGTTAGGTCTGCCCATCGACTGTACTTTTCCATTATTATGATTGAAAATGAATGAACATGTTATCATTGGTGCACCATTTGATAGAAGCAACATTATTCAAGCAACTGAAACTAGAGGTTGCTGCTGCTAAATTTGAGTGAAGATAACCCAGCTGAAATTTTAGAATATTGTAACGCAAAATTAAGGGCACCCGTCTCTGTCACAAGTTGGCGCACTATACATATATTTGCTGTGCCGAAAGCAGAATTACCAACTAATTGTAAAGGATTAATGGACGAATTAAAGGATGATGATATCGATGAATCCATGCGTGAGGAGGCTGCTTATCGTAAAGAATTTGAGCCTGTACCACCATGGAAACGTGAGAATATTCCAGACTATGGACCGTTACAGGATCATCATCATGTCGTCTTCTTTTTTATTGTCGGCATCGCATGTACAATCTTGTATGAAAGTACGGACTATTTCAACGAAATCCATCGATGGTTGGCGTATATTGCGATTTGGTTTCCAATGTGGTTTCGTCTGCTTGGACGTGTATCACCTGCATTGACTGATGAAGAGCTGGATGCGAAAGAACGACGTGAGTTTGTGAAAGAACTGCAGAGAATTGCAGAGGCAAAGGATGAGATTGACAATTGACGTGTCTTAGAACTTGAGATCAACTGAAGCAACATTATTCATGGAGAACAAACACAAAGGAAAATGTTTGTAAACATTCCGTCATGTTTCAGGAGTCACATACCTCGTTTTTTTTTGAACAGTTGGCACATTTTACTTGCGAAACCAGCCAAAGAAACCACCACTACTCTCGTCACCACCTCCAACTGCAGCCTCTGCTGCTTTCTCGGATTCTGTCTTGGTGCGTTCGGTCAGATCCGGGAACTCAAGTGCATTGAATGCCACATCAAACAACAGCGGCTTACAGGGTACGGTACGAAACTCTGGTGGTAGCTTTACTAACTCGCGGCAACCTTCGACAGTGCCAGCTTCAAACTTGTCCTGACGATCCACCAAAGCATCAACTTGACGTTTCTTGCGATTTTTGTCCTTCTTGCTCTTTTTGCAATCGTCCTCAATGGACAATGAAAGCTGCTCCAATTCTAGACGTATAGCATTGGCGCCAATTGAAGACTCCAAAAAGCTTTCTGCCGTCGTACGACTAACAGCACCCGCGAGCTCTTCGTGCAGTTCACGCGTGAGCTCTTGCAACACATCGTCCTTGGCGGCAGGCTGCGCAGCTAAAATCTCTTCAGCTTCAGCCAAGAAACTCGACGCATACTGGTACAGAGCCATTGCCTCCCCAAACTTGTGCTGCAAAAGATAGGTCTGGGCAACCGTTGTAGCACGGCAGGCACGAAACACCGCATGGTATGTACTGTATTGTGCAACACGACGCTGCTCTAGTTCACCACTACCAAGAATGGCCAGAATGTCGCCGACAGTCTGAACCAGCATGTCGAGCATATGGGTGAGCTCGCCAGCCTGCTGAGCCGAGAAGTCTTTCTTGAGTGTCTTGTATACTGCAGCCTGGCGCTCTACTTGCTTGGCAAGCTTCTTAAAGCGCGCATACTCCTCCAAAGCAGCCAACAGCTCCAGGTCTGAATGCACTAGCGCACTACCACTTTTGGCCTGTTGTTCCAACTTTACCGTTGCATTTTTCAAATCCTGCAGCAGAGTGTCATACGCACTCAACAAGTCCAAAAAACGTGCTTCACGCGTCTTGTTATCCTGCGCAGCATCAAGCTTGGCAGCAAGCTCGTCCGTACGAATCAACGCCAAGCCAAGCTCTTGCGTCGGTACTGGAAGCTGTTGCTGCTTCCACTCCACTGACCCCAAATTAGCCACCTTCTGCTTTCGCGCCTCTAGCAACACCAACTCGATCTTTGACTGCAGCAACGCGCTATTAGCGCCCTCACCAGTTGACTGCAATTCTAGCGACGAAGTCTCCGCCGTGCTAGCTTTGCGTCCATGCAGCGCCAGTCGATGCTCACAGAAGCGGATGAACGGCTGAAGCTCGTCTGCTGAGCGCGAAAACAACTCCTTTTGCGAGGACGTGCCCACCTGTGACAGGTCCGCATAGATACGGCGTGCGGTGCCAAACTTCTCCAGAGCTACTACATGCTCTTCTCGATGAAAAGCAAAATTGCCAGCCATGTAAGCAGCATAAGCCTCTGCCTCTAAACTCGTACGAGCATCAGCACGGGCAGCACAGATCTCAGCAAGTCTTTGACTCCAATCCGCAGCTTTACGGAGACGTCCATTCAAATGAAACTTAATGCGTGAATTAGCATCTTCACCATTCTCTGACTTGTCTAAATTATCGTCTTCCTTTAGTTGCATAGCAAATCCCCAAGCTCGCTCGGCATTATATAGTGGCAAATACAATAGACGATTCTCCGTAGCTGTTTCAATATCCACCTTTTTGTTTACATATTGTTTACCTTTTCCATGCATAAACTTCACTGATTTACGAATGCGACGTAGCCGACGTGTGCAGTATTGTCGATAACGCTGAAAATCACGATGACGCAATCCATTCTGCAATTGCGCAGCCTTAACAGTCTCAAGAACTTCAACAAGATACTATCAGCACTCAAGAAAGAAACAATATTATGTAAATATATATTACATACTGGGAACACTGAGCACAACGTTGCTTGACGCTTGAACTTCCACTGTCTTTACTCCCTTGGCCATTGTTTAGTTTGTATCCTTCCCCCTATGTTTGTAAATGATTGTCGTGTATTGATGTGTAGTATACTGTGTATCACAAAGTACATTAGTGTGTCACGGGTGGCCATCCACATTGAAATGCAGAACTGCTACTCTCCGTTGCCTGTGCAGCCACAATTGCCCGTTTCGATTGACAATGACGCATCCATGAAGCGTCTGGATACGTCACGTCAAAGTTACGATGAAATGCGACGTTCCTTTATGCAGTTGGGTGCTGTAACTAGTGCAGTCGGGTCAGCATACGTCGAGGTGGGTTGTACCCGAGTTGTTTGTGCTGTCTACGGCCCGCGAACCGACACCCGTGCACGACGTGAATTTAGCAAAGAAGGACAATTAGTGTGTGATGTTAAGTATGCACCTTTTGCTGACAAATTGGCACGTCGAGAGCGTGGCCAGGATCCGGACGAAACGGAGTTGTCGACTATTTTGCAGGAAGCATTGGCCCCCGCTGTGATGTTGCACAAGTTGCCCAAGTGCATTCTGTCAGTGTTTGTAACAATACTAGAGGATGACGGAGGAGTTTTTACTGCTGCTATCAACAGTGCATCGCTCGCGCTAGCCGATGCTGCCGTGGAGATGTATGATATGGTCACAGCTGCCAGTGCGGTAAGTTTCAGCAATTGATGGCTATGAAGCGAGCAATGGACGTAGAGTGATGACGTTTATCTGAGCGCTATACTTCTTGTAGGCTATTATCAACGAGTCGGTGATCTTTGATCCGAACAGGGAGGAGGAACAGCGTGGAGATGGCAAACTAACATTGGCTTACATGCCGTCAATGGGACGGGTTACGTACATGCTACAAGCTGGTAAGGTCCACCACACGCAGCTACAGGAGGCAGTGGATCTTTGCACGGATGCATGTACTGGTGTCACGCGGTCCATGCTCACAGCATCACTTGTGCAAGCTCTGTCCTGACTACACAAATAAAAGAAACACCAATGCATCGCACCGCAAACGACAAATAGGCCAATGAGGTGTTGTATTGTTTCTTTGTTCAAGCGCTCTTACAGACGTTCGATTGCGTGCAGCGCCATCACCGGGCTGTCTATGTCAATAGCAACTCGATCCATCTGCTCTTCATAGTACTTTAGGCAACAACCTGCTTCGTTTTGCGGTTCTTGAGCAAATTCTTCATAAAAAACTCACCAGCCTTGTAACTCGAGCGCACCATCGGTCCACTAGCAACGTACAGAAAGCCCATCTGCTCGGCCACTTTCTGCCATTCGGCAAAGGCCTCGGGTGTCACGTATGACTTGACAGGCATGTGCTTCGTACTAGGACGCAAATACTGGCCGAATGTCACGACGTCTACTCCACTGCTGCGCAAATCACGCAGCGTCTGAAATAAATCCTCGTTGCGTTCACCCACACCCAGCATTAGCGACGTCTTGGTCATGAGGTGAGGAGCAGTCACCTTGGCCCGCTCCAGCACGTGCAGCGACTGTCTGTAATTAGCACGGTAGTCACGCACACGACGCTGCAGACGCTCTACCGTTTCTAAATTGTGCGCAAAGACGTCAAGTCCTGACGTTGCCATCTGATCAATTAGATTGTCATGACCCTGAAAATCGGGTGTTAGACACTCAATCAGAATCTCCGGCAGCTTGGTACGTAGCGTACTAACAGTCTTTGCAAAGTGGCCAGCACCTAAATCCTTATAATCATCTCGGTCCACACTTGTGAACACGATATAGTCAAGTCCCCAAGCGGCAATGGCTTCCGCAACCTTGTTGGGTTCTTCAGGGTCCAGTGGCGACGGCTTCTTGCTAGTCTTTACAGCGCAGAAGCTACAACCACGCGTACACGTGTCTCCCATGATCATGATTGTCGCTGTAGCTACACCGTCTTTGCCTCCACCCCAGCACTCGCCAATATTAGGGCATTTGGCTTCTTCGCACACGGTGCTGAGACCCAGACTCTTGACAGTCTTGCGCAGTCGCTCGTAGTTGGCGCCTTGTGCTGGACGCGCTTTCAACCACTTGGGCTTACGATTCGATGCATTCGGTTTGCGTGACGGTTTCGTGCCAGGCGCGTCATCAGCCTCAAACGCAAAGTCCTTAAGCGACAGCGCCTGCTCGGAAAAAGTTAGGCCTTGACGCGCCTCGTTCGCAAGACGCTCACGCAGCGCCACAAGACGTGAGCTAAGATCCGAACGTGTCACTTGCACAGAGGCAGCACTGGTGCTGAGGCGGGTGTGCTGGACAGCCACGCGCGAGCACCAGGACAACGTTGTCACGTGCATTATTTACTTTTGATGCTATTGTAGAGTGGATGATGATGCCGTCTACAATATCGATCGAATAGACGTTTCGGAGTGGTATATATAAACTAGATAGTCATGTGATTGGATGAAAGTAAAATAATAGGTGGCCATTACTTTTATCCAATCCAATAATTACTTTGTATACTGCTGACTTGTATTAAAGAAAACTAATCTGAGGTAATACGAAGTACGGTTTGTGAACTAGCATTGTCGTATTGTACCGGTATGATCCGAGGTGCAGCACGTAGTCTCTTCCTAAACGCACGGCAAGTGCGGCGAACTGCTGCACGGCAGGCCCAGAAGCAGCAGAGAATGCAAACGACAGACCGGCTATCCAAAGGAACCAGGAGAACTGTATGCGACTTGGCGCGGGAAGAGAGCGTGATCACCAACCAGCAGAAGCAGATCTTCGGTCACGTCCGGTATACCGATACGGTATGATCAATATAATGGGTTGCTATACGTCGAAAATAATCAACTAAATGATTTTGATTTGTGTCTTGCTAATCAGATTCCTCGAGTTTTGACCATGGGAGCTGTGAGCGTTCTCAACTTTGGCTCTATTGACGAACTTAATATTTTGATGCAAGATTTGGTAGCGGACGATGACGACGGACGATAATAGCGCGTTACTATGGTGACATATACCAGTAGAACAACAAGTTTTGAAACACAATCTTTTTGGCCAAAGTAAAGAGTCATGGATTACGACTAGCTTGTCTGGCTTTGAAACATCTTGCTCATGACTAAGACTACCATGTGGGAGCAACTTTTTAACTTTCTCTCACGCAATATGCGAAGATATATGACAAGAGAGCCCACACTCAACCACTAACTTACTCCATCACAGGGAACTCGAACACTACGTCCTTGTTAGTCAGTTTCTTGTACACGGTGGCAAACGTGTCAAGCTTTGTCTCCACGTTGACCTGGTCCTTCGGGTCCAAGTGCACCTTCAGCAGCTTGGAACCATCAAGACGACAGCGTGTGCGCTTGCCAACAATCTCAGTGGGGAAGACAAGGTCCTGTAAGCAAAAGAAAACAAAAAGAAGACAGCAACATGAGCATACGGCATGGGGTGCTAATCCCAGAGGCCATCATCGAATTTCTCCAGTGCAAAGATCATAGCAGCATCAGCACGGCAAAGGTAACGTACATCAAGAATTTGCTCCTGCACGTGAGTAAGCGTGCGCGAGCGAGGACGTGGACCAGCACCGTGGTTGGCGCGGGAGTAGCCTTTGCCAAGGATGGTGCGCTGGGCAATAATCACAACGTGACGACCAGAGAACTTTTTTTCAAGCTCACGCACAAGACGGGCCTGAATCTTTTTAAACGATGCGTGTAGACGAAACGGTACAAAGATCACAATGGCCTTGCGCCCTGAAGAAATGTCCACCTGCTTAGCAGCAGTGATGTGCAAGTCCTTGAGGTCGTTCTTGATCTCAGCAGCGGACTGCTCCAAGTTGAAGAGCTCCTGCGCTACTTGCAGCTCAAATTCATCAGGTGTTTGGCCTTCAGGCTTGACAATCTTTGACGCCATATCTAGTAGTTGATGTAGTCGGGTTACTTGAGCAAAACGGCGAGTGATGTATGATGAGGGACACAAATGTCTCGTGGCCAGTCAATTTTGAAAAGTAGACTCAGATCTGAAGACGCTGGTAAGCTTAGGTTGCTTGGCTAAAACGTAAAGTCGCAGCATGCATTTCGATATTCATGTAACTTGTGAAGTAGTATTCTAAAGTTGATCTTATAACGAAGCCAGACTCGTAATGTCATCACGCAATGGCCGCGTGATGCGACTTTCTTATGTGTACAAGGGTAAATTTCGTACCCCATTTGACAGCACTGACCTGAGCGGTTGATTGTGACTTTTTTGCGCTAGTTGCTGCTTTTCAATGCCAGTGATATCAACGTAAGCAAACCTGACGCTTGATCGAGCAACAATAGCACAATGTACGGTTTGAATGTTGCATTATATAATCATGTGCATTTCATGGCAGCGGCTTTCAGTTCGGTCAATCTCTTCGATTCGATTGGGTCCTTGTAACACAAGTGGAATGGCAACTGATATATTACGGTGCCTGATGTGAAACAAGTCGCTTTTACCTTGCAAATATGAAAAAGAATTATTATGAGAGAACATATTGTATGTTAAGTCAACATTAAGCTTGTGTCGACACAAACTTTTTTGTTTCTATATATGTTGCGCTTTTGCCTATGGATTTCGACCGCTGACTTTTTGGTTGTCTGGTGTAGAGACTACACGTTCTTCCTCTGGTGATAGGTGCTGACTGGACTAATTGAAAGCCATTCTTGTGGTCAAGACATGTTCAGGTTGTACACTGTTGGCAACGATGACAAGAAAGCAGCGACGATAACACATGCGGATCTCATTGTTCTTGAATTGTTGCCATTGAACGTTTCTCTGTTCTCACCATTGTTAATCGAAGATTCAACTGCATAACTACTGGATTGAACGCGCTGATTGAAGTGCATTGTAATAGGTGTTCATGCTTTTATACCTCTCGTATCGTATACGATCTGTCTCACTTGCATGTAACTACTTACTTGATCCCCAGCTGAGTCTTACAATCGTGACAATACCATTTGCCCGCCGGTTGGTCCGTGAGCCCCACGCAGCTAAAGTGGAACCACTCGTACTTGCAGTCGTCATTGTCACAGCCCACCATTTGTCCAAATGACACACGTCGGCAACTGCAATAAATAGGTTCATTTGGGTCAATGGGCAGATCCTCCGAGGCCAAAAGCACCTGATCAGTGGCAACCTGTGGCATCGCCACAGTAGTCTCGGCAACTGACTTTTTTCTTGACAATGCACTTCCTGCACTGGAAGCTTTCGACACCACGGGTATTGTCGATTTGTCTTTCATTCCAGCAGTGACAGCTCCAATTGTATTCTGTTTACTGCGGATACTAGTCACATGAGGTGTTGCAGGACTTTGACTAGTGTAATGTAATTGATGTACCGTTGTTGTGGCCGCCGACGTCTTTTGCTTTTTGCGTTGAGGTCTACTATCCTCCTGATACTCTCCATTTGCCCTTAGTAATGCTGCATAACTCTCCAACTCTCTGTCCAGTCGACGAATATGATGATCAATAATATCGTAACTCTGAGCTGCAATTGCAACTTTCTCGTCCAGCTTCTGCACTACTAGATCATGTTTCATCTTCAACCTCTCAACTTGTTCTTTAGCACCAATAAGTTCTTGCAGTTCTTCTTCAGTAGGTTCCCCTCTTGTCGTGTCATTGCATCGAGCAACTATTTTTTTTCGAGATTCAATTAAGTACGCTTTTTGTTCACTTTTCAGGTCTTCCAAGAGTGGGTACGATGTCTATACAGATTTGAGTTAAGGCACTTACACAGGCGCAATATCGAATAGAGAACAGCTGAGCGATACTATCTATACCTTATCCAGGTCCCGCATTAGTTCAAAGTTCCTCTTAATTTCTGATGGCAGCATGTAAATGCTTTCCAAATAATCTTCGACGTAGGTGCCCATTATGTAAGCGAGCGAATCTTTACTCGATATTTGTAAAAAATTGATATCAAAACAAAAAACCGCACTTAGTCAAAAGTTACAATAAATAGCTTGGCAACATAACATATGCGTAGGGGACTTGTAAGAGCTGACAAAAAAGGAAGCCGCACTTAGTCAAGAATTCCAATAATAGTTGGTAGCATACCATTTAGCTACATCTTACAAAATCTTAATGCTGATATTCGTCTCCTTTGCTCACTTAGTATTTGTAAATAACTCATCCTTATAGCAAGTCGAGCTTTATAAAGGTACATTGCGAAGTAAGAGTAGAGCTTACGCCTACCATTTAACGGGGTGAGTCCGTTACATAATATTGACATCATCATTATGTGTCAATGCGAATATTCTCTTTGAATGTTAATCGTATTCAGAACACCTGCTCATTAGCTGATATAGGTCATTATGGTAGTCAACACAAGCGGTCTAGTCAATGAGCAATAAATGGCCAGCAGATAGCGAGTATGCATATTTCATTTAAATACGATTTAAGTACCATATAGCGTAATTATAGGCTTTTTTATTTTCAAATACTCTTCATACCTTACAATTAAGTGTGTCCACTAAGCCCTATCGCTTAATCTATGCCACGTTTACGTGAAGAACGAGGCACCTGCATATAATGTTATGAGTGTAAGTAGATTGTACTGTTATCAGTGAGTGTAGCTTACACTGTTATCAAATTTTGCGCAGGGTGCCCCGTTACACCTGGTAGCATTTTGCCGTCTTTTCCTTGCAGCTATCATGGACACATCCGTTGGTTTTAAGTGACGTTGAAACACAGGCGGTACAGCACATGGCTAAGCCGTTGGAAAGACTACCGTCAGCGTCTATGTTGCTTTAAGCTAGTATAGGTATATATATTGGTTTATAGCTAATACATAGGTAACATCTAACGTACACGTGTTCTTGTCTCTTTAGGATTGGATTGCTGGCCACTCGTTGAATAAAGAGAGCTCCCGTACGTGCTGCAGATCACCCCTAGAATTATCTTGGCCAGGTATCATAGGTGAGAGTGACGAGTGTGTGGGGATCGGTGAGAGTCATTACTGACCGAAGGACGAACCAAGATCGGGGTCACTTTGGATGAATCCCTAATATAAGATTTTGATGCTTAGATCGGCGATCAGGTTGGTCAAGATGCAATCTTAAGCATATAGTTTTAATTTCTATGGGATATGAACTGAATTTGACCGATGCAAGACTTTGTTTGCCACATGAAGTCAAAATCAGTCTGGCAGGTCGAGATCCACCAAACCGATCCACCAAATCGATCCACCATACAAGCGACCCCACAATTCGCGATCAGCCTGTAGTATTGACATCGGGTGATCCGGAAAAAGTGTCGGAGGGGAGAACGACGTATCGCTGCGTCGGGTCGTGTGAGCCCCTATAGCTCAGTAATAGACCACCCGCTTAGTAAGCGAAAAGTCGGTAGTTCAATCCTGCCTGGGGGGTCACACGCCTTTCCTGCTGCAGCTCCCAGGTACCAGTAAGACTATATCCGACGTGTCTTTTTAATTAGTCAACACGTCTGCGGCAGGTGCGACGACTAAAGGCGAGAGAGCGGCTGCATGCAAGCTACTGCGCATTGTACATTTCATTTAGACCTTACATTTTTATGTCAGCTATTCAGGAATTCAAAAAAATGTTAAAATTAAAAACTCGAAAACAATTTTGACAAGCAAGAATTAAACAATAGCGTCAGCGTAGGTATACTAATGTATTATATTAGCGTTGCAGATTGATTAGTCACCCTACCTATTTTATTACAATATAGACAACCTTTCATCTGAGCTATAGGGGCTCAAACGACTCGACGCAGCAATACGTCGTCATCATGAACAAACAAACACCAGTCGATACCTACATGCGCTACAAGCAAACATATCTTGCAGTATTCTTGTCGTGCTTGAGAGCCGTGGATTGATTGATTGGTTGGTTAGAGCAAAGTGTCGCCTGGAACACCGCGACCGAGCCAAGGTCGCCAAGACCACCTCGCTGTCTTTGCTTGCCGTGTCGTCGTCTGGGTCAGGCGAAGAAGCAGAAGGCTGGCCACGGGAGGTCCCCGACTCGAGAGTTGACGAAGCTGGAGTGCTGGTCGCACTCGACCTTACAGTTATAGAGACGCTAGCGGTCGTCTTAGCCGATGGGCGCCGAGGTCGCTCTCCCTGGCACCTTTGTAGTAAGCACCGTGTGGGTAGTCACGGGAGGAACCACGGGATCCTAAAGTGGATTCGTGGCATAGTCCTCGTGCTTTAACTCCGCCACTATGAGAGAATATCGGCTCTGGCGGTCGCCAATTTGCCACCGCAAGTGTTTTACCAGCGCTCTCTCATGCTGAAGCCCTTCTCGCAACTGGACCACGAGATTGTTGGTTGTCCAGCAGCTCTCTCCCGAGGGGCTAGCATCTGGCGGTCCAGCAGGCGTCGGTGGAAAGGACGGGAGCTGGTCGATCTTTGCACGTCTCAAATCTACGGCCATACGCCCTTAGGCGGGCCTGAAGGTCGCGCAGAACCTGATGCACGTCTATGGATCCACCCATCTCAGCCGGACGGTCACTCGACGGAGTGACGAGCGAGACACAAGAGACCGGCAAACTCACGAAGTCCACAACAGCAGAAGAGCTAGAGGTAGACAAGGGGACGTCAACGACTGGTGGACTCTCATCATCTACGGCTTCAGAAAAAACCGTCGTGGACTCTTCTGGTCCTGGCACCTGGAAGAAATTAACGATCGGCAGTGAGAAGGAGACCTGGGCCTCTGGGTCAAGAGCGAATGTAGGAGTGACCAAAACCGGTTTTTAAGGTGGCGGATCTACCCCAGAGAAAGTAACAGCTAAGGTCACATCAATTTAGATAACACATATTGAACGCTAAACAAGCTATGAGTACTTACGGTATGTAGAAGTCGAAGACATGCGCGTGCTTAAGAGGCTGTATTGTTGACCAAGTGCAGAGGGCGGCTGTGGTGAAGCGTTCTTAGAATGGGGAAGCCAGAAGACCAGTGGGCCAAAAATGAAGGGACTTGCCAAGGAGGAGCGACCGTTGAGAAAGAACAAAAAGAAGAGCATTAAAGGGGAAGAGAAACTACCGTTGGGAAAAATGTACGGTCAAAGTGTGCTAGCTGGCCGCCATTGATAAGAATTAAACGCGATATAGCCCGAGGGACCGCGGTTCCTCAAGGTGAACCCCGGTCCTTCAAGGTCGATCCTTGTCTAACATTGGTAGACCTCGGTCTTTCATAAAGGTAGACCTTGGCCCTTCGGTCGGTGGACCCTCGGTTCCTGTCTCTTAGGGTCGACCTTGGTCCTTGATCAATGGATCTCGGTCCTCAGTCAATAGGCGTTAGCATTTCGGTCCCCGAACTCTCGGCCCCTCGGCCCTTTGGTCGAAATATTCTAGCCAAGCAGAATCAAGAATCAGGTCTCGGGGGTAAAGATAGAGTATAGAAGGTAAAAGAAAGGGCTATATAAATGCTACTTAATTCGCGATCTACGTAGCATGCATCTGTCGTGCTCACAAGGAGCTTACATAAGTCTACCCACCCTGTTCCGGGAAGGGACATATTTTGGGCCCCCGTCGAAGACAGTCGTTTGGCAAGACCCAAGTGTGAATAGAGACCCAGGATATATTTGGCCTGTGGGTTCGTCTGAGTAGCACCCTTCAATCGACCTGCTATAGGAAGCGGTCTCCCTACCCTAGTGGTTCGGGAGCAAGTAAAGTCCAGGCGGTTAACACCCTGAGATATCAAGGAAAAGGCCAGGATTGAGAATGTCTCCAAAGAATTTGGCCATAAGCCCACCCTAGACCTAGTCGACCGAGTGGCCACCTACCCGCCTACCGAGTAAATTATACCCAATCGAGGCACCCCTAGGTCGACCTCTCTCAAGGCCGACATCATATCTCCACCAAGTCCTCTCGAAGAGTGCAAACCGCCAGCCGACGGGTACCCAAGGTGAGAGAAGGTCTATAAGCGACATTGGGGTACCCCTTCCGACAGTCGGCAGTCCGGCACAGTGAGTGTCTTGGGGTCTTATTACGCAATTTTGAGAACCCATTTCACTAACAACCTGGAATACATGCACAATGGCTGCGTGTGTTGTACAAGGAGACAACCCAGATCGTGGAGCGACTTGGAGCGACGAGACTGGTCTTACCGCCAAACAGCAGGAAATGACATCTTCTTCCTTATCTAGGATGCAGCAGTGGCGACAAGGTGTGCCTGATTCCCTTGATCCCGAGATCTGCGCTGCTTTGCGTCGTGTGGACACCACAGCTGCCGACACAACAGCACCCGATCACAATTCACTCCCAGCGTGTTGGAGCGGGGAGTATCCAGGCGTACGTACGGTACAACAAACACCTGCAGAATATCTTGCTCCCCGTGTTTGCGGACCTGCAATTTCGCCTCGCGTTCCGTCTTCTGCCAGTACGCTCACGATTATGTTTTTTAGAGGCATCTAACCCACGCATTTGCATCTGAGTTCGTGCTGGGTGCGACGCGATCGAGGCGGAGGAGCACTTGTTCTTCAGTTGTACGCTCGCAGTACAGCTCTGGGACCACATCCACCAGATGATGTCTCCTTTCTTCAGATCTCGTGCTGAGGATTGTGTTGGCTCCAAAGCCGAGTGTCCGTCATACGTGTACAAACGACGAGGAGGTGGTGTGCGATGTCTGGAAGATGCTTCGAGCCGTGACTCTCCACTTCCTCTGGACGGACCGCAACCGGTGTCTCTTCGACGACCGACACCCCACGCCTGCGCTTCCTGCCCTGCAGGTTGCCTTGGCGACAGCTTGCGCTCCCTTTTGCCATCAGCTTCGTCGCCTTGACCGTTCTGACCAAAAGGCCCCGTCAGCACACGGTAGTTGCCGCGATGTCACACTCGCCCATATTCGCGACTTCATCAGCCAAAATCCGTCTGCGCTGGTTATTCGAAATTAACGCTGATACGTCGACGCGG